GGTAGGTAGACTCCCAGTCTTTCTCGGCCATCGATCCGTTGGCCATCTTGACGTTTAATGCCCACGCCGTGAATATTTTATCAAAAGCAGCGCTTTTACGAGTTTTCCTGCGCGCTTGCGTGCGCTTTGCGCTTTCCGCATAGTGGTTAACGTTAAACGACGGGCGGCGGCTTGATAAAACTGATAAACATCCACACATAACCTCAACGTCTAACCTTAAATCACACAGCGAAATGATTTCGGCGGCGTTTAATTGCAACTAAAAACGTACCTACACACACAGTTGGCGTTGTATTGTGCGGCAATAAATTGATTCGATAGCCAATTGACCTGCACGTCGCGCCCCCCACGGTGATATGGGGGTGGCGGCGGCGCCTCCACCAATCGACATTGACGGTTGTTGGCAGCCGAGGCACTTCAATAAGCCGATCATAATGCATGCCGAAACGACGCCGGCACGCGAATACTATAACGCTCGATAAACTGGCTTTTCCGATCGAGCAAATCGCGCATGACACGAGCACCCAATATGAAGTTAATTTGCATTCATGCTCAAATATTCAAATACCGAAACTGCATTTTCATATAAATTCCTTGCAAATTAACATCACAAAAATAAACCACTTACAAATATACACAAATAACCTTAAAATGTTTGCAACTATAGGTATAGGAAATTGACAGCTACATAACCTATTTTTATAGAAATTTAATTAAAACAAACAGTAGTTTCACCTGTGGTTGATTCTTGCGGCTCAACACGCACGAAATTGCTAGTAAAATTAGTAGAAAACCAACGGATGCACATAACGCACCCTCAGGTTTTAACTTTTGCCCTGCGGCCCCTGCGGCAATTTCTATCTCGGCCTGCTTACGCTTGGTTTGCATGCAATGCATGTTGAACGCCCCCTCGTTACTGACAACCGGCAATTGTTTCGTATTAAGTTGTATAAGTTATGAGCCGTGTTTAGTGGCGTCGCTCGTGTCACATTTTATATGTGTATCATTTGTTTCGAGTGGCTGCACCCCCATCGAAACAATTTAGGCGGCGTGGCGTGTCATAAACCGTCGTTTTCGCGTGGTTTGCGTAATAACTTAATTGCGGAAGCAACATTTTATTTACTCATCGTTTTATGAGTGCATTTTGGTTTATGATGCGTGAAATTGCTAATAAAGTAGTGAAAATATGATTAAAACGGTTTAAAATTTGTTTTTTAGATCTTTTATAGAGTAATTTATGACATTTAAACAATTTTTTTGACAGAAAATAAACTTTTGCGATAAACTTTTCACGGTTTTAATCAAGAGACTGTCAATTTGACTTTTGTTTTGACAATTTGACAATCGTTTATGTCAAAATCGTGGTTATATTAGTTCACAATGACGTAAAATTGGTTGCATACAATGAAAATCACATAACTCATCACAAAAACCCGAGAAATACAAAATTATTACCGTGTAAATAAAAAAAAATTAACTAAAAATCATGGAAATATGCATTTTACATCTTTATAATCCCCAATTTACTAAACATAACCAACTCAAAAGTAAATCTACCCCCTAATTGTATTTAGTTGTTGTAAATTTTTGTTTTCACTTCTAAAACAAAGCAAAAATTGCAGCCTGAAGTCCCCTCGCGAATTTACCAAGATTTGCGACCACTTTGAGCGATACTTGTGCGTCGCACGCGGAAGACTGGCGGAAAAAACAATAGACAAGAGCCGTGCGCTCCCCAGATGCATTGCGCGCACTTAAAACCTGCGTGCACAGATTGTGCAGCTCGCTCGCCACTCATATTCATACGCAAACATGCACAATGCGGCGGATTTATTATATTCAATCAATATTTGCACTGCGTTCGCATTGTGTGCGACGAATGTTGTGTTTTGTGCTCTTCGAGCCGATCGACCACTTAGTATGCTTTTGTTGCGCTTGTTTATCGCTGGCTTTTTGTAGAACACATCAATATTTTCATCTTATGTTGTTATTCAAATAATAATAGATTTAGAAGAGTGAAATAAGTTGAATTACTCGAAAAGTAATTAAGGTAAAGTGATAATTGTTTCAGAAATAAGTTTAGAACTAAATTCGGTATTTAATTAAGGTGAATTTGAACAGAAATTTTAATTAATTAAGCTAATATCGCGAATTTTATAAAATTTATGTTTTTGATGAAAAAATCTCACTTATTTCTGCTCAAAAAGAAATAAAAAAATATCAAATTTACTGTAGAATTAATTGTTGTTAAAATTATTATTGTTCCATGATTATTTTTTTAGTTTTTTATGAAAAACTACCGAAAAACAACGTTCTTACCAAAAAAATTGAATTTTTTTCCTCTTATGACGTTATTCAAATAATAATAGACTTAGAAGAGTAAAATAAGTTGAATTATTCAAAAACTAATTAGGTAAAGTGATAATTGTTTCGGAAATAAGTTTAGGACTACATTCTGTATTTAATTTAGTAGAATTTCAATAGAAATTTGAATTAATTAAGTAAATATCTTAATTTTTATAAAATTGATGTCTTGGGGTAAAATTTTCATTTTTTTCCTTCAAAAAGTCATTAATAAGTGTCAAATTTACTGTAAAATTAATTTTTATTAAAATTATTACTGTTCCATGTCTATTTTTTGAGTTTTTAATGAAAAACTACCAAAAAACAACGTTTTTAGTAAAAAAAATCAATTTTTCTTTAATTATTGCAACATTTCTTAACTTTTTGCATAATTTTTACAACAAATTATGCAATTTTAACTAATTATGTCAAGAAACACTCAAAAACAATAAATACTTCCACTGTTATTCAATAATTCCAGGCAAAATACATAAAATTATGCATGAAAGTAAATTCCCAGCATGTTTTGACACTAATAGCGTTTATAAACGCATCTAATAACCGATGCGCTCGGGGAATTAAACGCGTAATCGCGTAAACTCGCAGCACGCGTCCTACACGTAATTAATAACACAATTTCCCGTGTTAAATCATAAGCGCGACCGAACCGGAAGCGATAAACTACCAGCGTTCATATTTCCACTCGCACACGCCACCGATAACCATCAAAATATTGCAGTTAATAAACGCGACGCATTGTAAATCACACAACGAAACTTCTGTCAACACTCATTCACACTCACAAAAATGACTAAACATGCAAATCGGTAGAAATTTACATAGTTGAAATTTGTGACCGGTGTAAGGGTAGTAATTTTTATGTTTTCCAGCGCACATCCGACATGCGATAAGCATTTCGGAATTAATTGCCGTTATCGCAGCGTGACGCCCTCGCAATATCGAAAATTATTCGAAAGGGTGCGCTTTATTAATCAGGGGCGCGTGTGAATTAATACCACATACACGAGAAACAACCCTTGAGGTGAAAACTAGTTAAATTAAAGACGCTTACCGTCAATTTACGCAAATTGAAACTTTAGCACATAATATCCAAGTGTTTTGCGAGTGATTTTGATGTAGTTTAGCAGAAAATTTGTTTGTCGCACAATAATTTCAGTTCGCAGCACATTTGTTAATAATAAATGATCACGCCAAATGCTCTCTTCGCGATTTGCACTTTTCGAAGCTCACATGCACATTATCAACGAGTATAGTGCGTCGCTGATGCCGGCTGCCCTTGTGTGCCGTTTGCCTTCTGCCCCGACGGCCTGAGGGCGCGGCGCAGCGCTCCAATCGCACATTGTTCATTTCATCGCCAACTGAGTCTGTAACCAATCACGCGCCGTATTTGCAGCGCCCTTTTGCCGTTGTAGGCGGAGCTGAGAAACGTACCCCTCTGGGGACGACGCGCGCCAGCTGCACGGTGTACACCTTTTTGGCTGTGCGCGGATGCGCGCTTCGCCTCTTCGGATACCATTTCGAAGCTTCACCTGAGTTCGCCGTCTCCACAACGCACAACCACACACAACACATAGGTATATCTATATGTGACTATAGTTGCAGTCAGGGCTAATCAAACGAAAAGCCTTTTTGGTTGCATGAATGTGGTGTAGTCTGGTGTGGAAGTGATAAGATCACACCTCGCTTTGACTTTGACTCGGTGTATAGCTGTGCATTAGCATTAATGAAGGCCAGGGATCAAAAATACAAACAGAACACTTAATGTCTTAATAAATTCAGGCTCCGGCGACGCACCGAGAGCATTTCGGTGTTTTTGATGAAGGAATCTCTAAAAAAACCCGCGCGCGGCTTTGTGTGTTCTGGTACGGCCCTTTGCGCTGCGCGTGTATTCAGATTGAAGATTTCAAGTGCGCACTCCATTCTGCATCCTTTTGTACAGGGCGCGTTTTTGATCTTTCCAACCACCACAATTTTATTCCATATTTTCTTCTACCGAATTAACAACACCGCCGAAAATAATAAAAATAAAACCTAAAAGAGATTATGTTATTATTCAATCAATTCTTAGTGTAGATATATCTACGGATACTTGAGACGTTAGCAAAACGTTAATTAATTTAATCAGCGTCAATAATTCTCGAGTGTTGTCTTTTAACGTTTTGTCGTCCGCGGGTGATGTGTCGGCGGATGCATTCGTAGATCTAGAGTGTCTCTTCCATCAAAAGATGATTGCGCGCCACGCGGCACTCTCCAATTATATTGACGAGGCGGCACCTTTTGCGCCAAAGCACCATCCCCATCATGTTTGTTTGATCTCGTGCAGTGCGCAAACATTCAAAAAGTCATCACATTATCTCGTCATTCATCGGCGATGCGAATAAAATTACATATTTTATAAGTTATCATAGATAATGTTGCGTTTCTGCGTCTGCTCCACTTGTTCCTCTCGCGCATGAGTGAGCATCACGAATCAAATTGCAACTTGAGATAATAAAAAGCATCATTACAATATGAATACTCGGCTTATTCGAGCTGGCAAGATGGCGGCCCGGGTTATTAACTTCGCGTTTCATATTTCGACCCTCTCAACCCCTTCAAACCGTGCGCTTGATTTAATTCGAAATATTCGCAGGATTCGCTTTATTACATTTTGTATATTATTTACGTTTATTTTAAGTGTATACATATTTCGTAATATAATACATCGAACCGAATTAAGTTATGCCTTTTGTCTATTGTTCCACATTCGTTTAGTGATCGTTTTGTTGTTCAGTTTTGTTTTACACACAGGTATGAATATTAGCCACCGAATTTTGCGCGCCACGTTTTTAGTTTCATTTCATTTTCTAGAAAATACAAACATTAAAAATATATGTTTAATATTTATGGTATGGTGTGTGTGTGTGTGTGTGTGCATGTTCCGTGTTGTGTGTTCAGTCGGCGTTCGAATGTCATACAATGAGAAACGTTTTTTTTTCCTTTTACATACAAGTTTTGATCAATAAATTCGTGGTGTGTGGGTACACACATCTGGGTTTCTTTTTTTACTGCGTCTTTGATTAAAGGTTAAGTTCTGCTCTGCGCTTAAACATTTAAAAACGTCACAAAAAACTTACAGTCAACATTCAATATATGCAATAGATGCGTGTTATATATAATTAGAACTTTCTTTCTCTTTCATTTTCCTCTCATTGTGTGTTTGCGACGCAAGTATATAACAACGGTTTACAGTAATTACTAAAGTCCGATAGAGTCGTATTGTATAGGAAAAAATGCTTGTCTATATCCTTGTCTTTAGTTAATTAACGATGTGTAATTGATTCGCGCGTAAATCGGTTAATATAAAACATTGTAATTAGAAGTAAGCGTTGATTCCATGCTGGACGTTGCGGTTGCGTTCCACGAAGTCAGTGTGAAGTGACTAGGCGGGTGACTAATCTAGCGCGGCGCCAATAAATACACGAATAGACAAATTAAAAACAATAAATGATTAGTAATACATACAATTCCAATTAATACACTGAGCGCACCAAGCGGGTGGTGGCGCTAAGGTAAGTGTAAATGCGCGGCGCCACCAAGAATGCGGAAAGCAAACATGAAAAAATCAAAATGCGCATCTCCTCCACGATCGTCGCATAATAATAAATATAAGAAAATATATTTTGTATTTAGGGGTAGGTTGGGTTGGTTGGTTGGTTTACTGACTGACCAGTTGAGTGTGGCAAAATGGCCGCCGGACGCCATTTTGACGGCACATGCTCTGTGTGTTTGTGTGTTTCATTACTTTTTTTTTTCTTCTTGACTAGGGCACATTTTACAGGCGCGATAAGACAATTCGTTCAAATCCGCTTCGCGATTTCGGGATTCGTTAGGATTAGTCGACGCCTCATGCGTCCGTCTCGCCGCCCTTCAGTCGGAGTCTTGCGAAATCTTCGAAGATGATATCGTCGTTGTTCTCATCTCTGTAAAAACGCAATAATTAGCCTACATTGACACACAAGTCACTAAATCACATTGCATACGTGTCGAGTTGTATAAGATTCGTATCGTCGGCGGAATTTGCGCCCATTTCTCTGCTTTCTCTTCGGGACGAGTCCAGCGGGGGTAGTAATTCCTCTTCAGGCTTAGGATGCATTAGGATAAAAGGCAATTCAGCCACTAAATCGCTGTAAAAACAACATAAAACACCAAATTAGCATACATTCCGTGAATTATTCACGTTTTTCATGAAAATCTTACCCTCCAAGAGCGCCTAAATACAATTTCACTTTGACTTTGTACTGCACGATGATGCCTAGGTTCTCGCGTTGAGCAGGATCAGCCACTCTGCGTTTTACAACAATAATTAGCATAAAAATAGCGTTTACTCCGCGCAAAACGGTAAATAAAGCAAAGAAACATTCCAAACAAAGCCAGCAGCATGCAAATCTATTCTACCAAGCCAGTGCGTATTAATACTCCACTATTGTTCGTGTTCATGTTAATATTCTAGATGGCGTTGAGTAATAGCTATAGAGTATAAGAGCAGCAACATTCAGGGTTGTTACAACATTCATTGTGTTGTGTTTGTTCGAGTTTAAACTTTAAAGAGGAAAACTAAGAGGAAATAGAAATATATGTACATACAGTTTGTAAGAAGCATGTGTGCTAGATTATCCTTTGACAGGTGACATCAAATAGAAAATAAAGGCAACAAAGTGAAATAAGAGAACAGCGATAATGTTTAATATTTATAGAGAGGATATGTGTGGTTGTTGTTTGTGTTTTGTTTTCGGTCGCTCCGTGAGAGACTTACAGGGTGCTCGATGCTAAGTTAGTATCTTCGTGCTTAAGTTGTCCGTCCAGCGCCAGGCCCCACTTGTCCTTGTTATTCGCCAAGAGCGGCGTCAGCGCAAAGACTTTGCTCAGGGTGAAGCCGGGGCCAATGGGGCAGCCTTCTCTGCCCAATCACACCACACTTTAGTCACCAGCCAATACACACACACACAAATGATCAAATACAAAAAATCAAAACTCAACTACGCCCAATATCGAAATATTTATATATATGATAGATCCGCACCAGCGATTGTGAGTGTGTGTGTGTTGCTGCGTCCTATACACCACAGCGTACTCCTAGAGGCATGCGACTCGTGAATGAAAGTTACAACCAACACCGCAAATATATGTAAATAGTATGAGTGCGCCAACAAATCTAAAAGAGGAAGTTTCTCAACCCGCCGCAGCTGCGCAGCCGCACTCACATTGTCGACGACGCCAGGTTCGTGTCTTCGTGCTTTAGCTGTCCGTCGAGTGCCAGGCCGCGTTTGTCTTTGTTGTTGGCGAGCAGCGGACGTACCGAAAACACCTTCGACATGGTAAAACCAGGCGACACCGGACAACCTGCTCTAGATAATATCGCAAAACATACGTCAACAAACAAAGAAAAAACAAGATGGCTGCCGTATAACCTGAAACTATTTTCGGGAAACACAAAACCAGTCGAATCAAATACTTACTCGCTGTCTGTTTCAGCAACAGTGCATTTATACTGCGCAGTGGAGAAGAGACAAATGTCGGCAAACTGTCGCACGCTGACTTTAATCTTCTTCACGGTGCGATTCGAATTGTTTGCTATGTGAACATTCACCGCAATATTCTCGCCGTGATGATAGAGTTCCTTATCTAGCGACGCTTCCAAGTGGAGCTTGTTGGGACTCATCATAAACTCCTTACTCACCTCCACGGATGGCTGCTCACCTTGTTTACTCGGTGCGTACATTATCTTTCGTATTGCTAATCTGGAAATTTATAAAATCAAAACAAATTTCCCCAAAATTTGATTTAAAAATACCTGACAGAGTTGCGTTTGTGCGGTTTATCGTCCTGCGTCTCACCCACAAACGCCTTCAGCTCATAATCAACCCCGCATGGTTTTCCAGTGTCGCCTGGAGCAGGTTGCAGGGTAACAGAGGCAGGACAATGTGGCGGCAACTCAAAATAGAATGGAAACGCGTTTGGTCCCAGCTTTTTTATAAGCCTCTCCTAAAACACACACGTAAACCCATTTAAAACATAACCTAACATAACCTAAGTCGCAGTATTTTGTTTCATCACGTAGCAAACGCAATAAAACTCACGAGTAAACATTGTAACACTCTCACAACAATGTAAAAGCATGACACAACCCCTAATTTTATTACACTATCCACTCACTGCGAATGGCAGTTAATCAGGAAGTGGAAACGAGGTCAAATTACCTGTAGTCGTGTGAGCGGTCGTTTCGTCGCGTTCGGGTCCTGCGGATAAATCTGCTCGGCAGCCAGATACAAATCCTTGCGGAACGTCAAGCCCAGAACGTCGAGATCCTCGCGTCCGTAACGAAACGCCGCCAGGACATGCCCGAACACTTTGCGATCCTTCACGTACTCGGGATCAATGAGGACGACGCCGTCGATCGGGTCCACGTTCGATATGTGATCGACAAAGTCACGTTTGCCAAGATACACCGTGATTTTGCCATTGGGCGATGACTTCTTGAAAACTCTACAACCGAATAAACTTGTAATGCAACCAGAGATTATTATATTGTTAATATGATTATTAAATGTTTATTTTGAAGGTGTTGATTACCTGGTCGCTTGTCGCTTGCTGCTGGTGTCGTCCATGTCCGGCGACGGTGGTGCCAAACCGGCGGCGCTCTCAGGGCTGCTGCGGGGAGGCGCCTGCACCTTGCCACCCTCCACGATGACCTGCCGAACACAATACCAGAATGAAATTTGGAACGACGCACACAAACTATTTGTTTTATTTAATTTCGTTATCGGTATGCGCACGCGTGTGTGTCTAAACAAATACCTTGAAGCTTTTGCGCCGTGGGGGCTCCGTATTTAAGCGTAATTGCGAAGCGTCCAGCACCCCGCCAGCCCGCGAGCGTTTCGGCTTGCGTAATGAGGCTCTGTATCAACAAACAGAGCGTTAAAGCCGCGCGTTCAAGAGTTTTTCGACGCGCGGCTGGGTCGAGTGCGGGCGGCACTTAAAACTTAAAATAGCAACAACGCGATAATGATAATAACCAGCAATGTCGGCGTGCGCGCCACACCACACCAGTACTTATCCATTACAAACTATCAACTATGTACTAGCCGGCGAGAGGCTGGGAATTTAATGTTATAAACAAACATTCGCGTGGCACACATGTGCCTCGCCGACATGTGTCGCTGGAAAAACATCTGTGTGCATGTAAATTGCGAATTTTCGCACGGCGTGACGCAAAACGGGTGTGTACACCGCGTGTGCTCTCGAATGACTCCTAATCTAATCAACTAAAAACATAATTTAATTAATCATCGACTGGTACGCCCCGGAGTTATGCGAAATGCATGCATGCGTGTATGATGGGTTGCCAGTTATCTAACCTGTTGTTGCAGTTCAACAAGTATATTGGGTTGCATATAATTGAATTGAATTTCGTAATTAATTAGTGTGCTCTTACGTATTTATGTTTGCAGATGAGAGTGGAACGTTATTCCCAACACGGCGGGCGTGTATCAATGACGTGCGCGGCTTTCCGGTGTCGATTCAGTGTTGACTCTCGACCGACGACAAATTGCTAATAAAGCCGTCGTCGTCGTGTTGTGTGTTGCCGTCGATGCGTTTCCACCTTTTCCGTTTCTCTTCCTTCCGTCCGCTGTCCGCGCGCTCAGCCGCCGATTTCAATCCACGCGCGGTGGTTCATTAACGTATTGTGTGCGCCGGCATTGTGTGCGCGTCGCGACAAATTTCACCCTCGCACAGCCAGACAATGCCGCCCCGCAATCGGCGCGATCAGGTGCGCTCGCACAATGTAAACACGTACGTTCAGCATATACGCATTTACTGCCGTCGAATTGCGTCGGCAATTAGGCTGGCCTAGACGCGACGCACTGCACTAACGACGTTATCGCCGTTATCGCTATTTATACGGAAGTTGTGGCACGCCGCTAACTTAGTTGTTGCGATTGGGACCTTCTGCTGCTGGCGAGCATGCGGCACCCGGATGACTGACTCACTTGCACTAAACAGCGGCGCGTTCTTCAACTGTTTATCACGATCGCGACGCGGCCGGTCGCGTGTTTGCGCATATTCGTGCATACAAGTACCGAGAAGACGCGCTTGATCATCAGTCGATACTTCCGATTGTTGATGAATAAATTACGCGCAACGAGCTGAACATCACTCGGGCTTGCAAGTGGAAGTTGTGCGGGTTCCGTAAATCCGTACGTACTCGTGAACGACACAAGTGGCGCCCCACGAACTAACATCATTTGTTTTCATTACAACCCAATTCAAAATTTGCAAGTTTTAAACTAAATTACCATGTTATAACATTAAACATAAACTTATTTATATATTCAGCACGTTTTACAGTGGAAAATGTATGTGATATACTAAAATAACTGTGGTTTTATCGCGTGTATTATTAGAGTTTTATCAAATTAACTATGGCGCAGTTCGTGTTTCTTCGCAGAACGAACGTGTCAGTACAAGCTGCGCATGCGCGTGGTAAATCGCCGCCGTGGCGTCGTCGTCCACACACACCGCCGACTCGGCCGTTCGCTCGGCTGTCACTTTCTGTTTGTAGTACGTGTTTTTGATACATTTTCAAGATAAGCCGGGGGCGCCGCCGACGTACAACCGCCGCCACCAATATACACCCGCACGCCGCCTCCGTTGCCGCCGCCGCGATGACCACATCGTCCGAGTATGGCAATCCACTACGGAAGTTCAAGCTGGTTTTCCTCGGCGAACAAAGCGGTGAGTAGAGAATGCCGGGGCGCAAAAAAACACATCATCCGCAAAACGCGCCGCCGAATCAATATTACCTCGCCGTACATTAGCGGCATCAATTATGCATAGGTGTGACTCTGGAGAGGCCCTTGCCCTTCTCGCGCACACACGTCCTGCAAAACGTCCTGTCACCCTGCCACCTAATTTCCACACACCTACACACCTAGCAAACATATGTATGGGTGGGTGGGTCGGCCACACAACTTCAACCTCTTTTTCATTCTTTCAATGCCAATCAATATTGATAAAATAAATGTTTTCAATTTGTTACAGTCGGGAAAACATCCCTCATCACCAGATTCATGTATGATAGCTTTGATAACACTTATCAGGTGAGGAAAACACAATTAAATCATAAATTTCACACAAAAAATTAACTAAAAACTTTATTGCAGGCAACAATAGGCATAGACTTTCTATCCAAGACCATGTACCTTGAGGATAGAACAGTCCGACTGCAGTTGTGGGATACTGCCGGCCAGGAACGCTTCAGATCGCTGATTCCTTCATACATTCGAGATTCGACCGTCGCCGTGGTTGTTTATGATATTACAAGTGAGTATGAGTTGTTAAGTAATTAAAAATGGGATTAAATTTGTGTGTTTTATTAGATGCCAACTCATTTCATCAAACTTCCAAGTGGATCGACGATGTGCGGACGGAGCGAGGCACGGACGTCATTATTATGCTCGTTGGTAATAAAACTGACTTGTCTGATAAGCGACAGGTTGTCACCGAGGAAGGTGAACGTAAGGCGAAGGAGCTCAACGTGATGTTTATTGAAACCAGCGCGAAAGCTGGCTACAATGTTAAGCAGGTAATGAAAAACATAAAAAAATATGTTTTTATTGTTTATAAATGATATTTTTATGTTTTTTTTTAACATTTTAGCTATTTAGACGTGTTGCCGCCGCATTGCCAGGCATGGATTCCACGGAGAATAAGCCACCAGAAGACAGTATCCTTTTTATTTTACGAAATAATTCTAAAAATTGCATTTTTTCTTTGATTTTTTAACTTAAAAACTTCAATTTTGCACGTGCATGACTTACTAGTGTGTGCGCATGTGTTAATTATTTATTATTTTTATTATTTTTGATTGCGTATTTTCCTCAATTTGTTTCTCTAGTGCAAGAGGTCGTCTTGAAAGACACGCCGAACGAGGCGAAAGATCCGGACGGAGGCTGTGCATGCTAGTGACGATTTTGTTGATTCTGATTCCTTCCTCGTTTTGTTTGCCGAGCAAGAAAAAAAAAACTGAAATGAACACCGCGCGAATCATGCTTTTATCGATTTAATTTGGTACCGGTGCATTCAAACATCTCGACCAAGCAACTAATAATTTAATCAAAACGAGATTTAACACAAAAATCAAAGTCAGATTTGATAAACTTAATAACTAAGAGAGAAAAAAGTATTCGTGCCTTGGGTAAATATTAATTTCGTTTTTAAAATATTACTTTTAAAGTAATATTACACTAAGCAAAATAATAATCAAAATGAAAAGTTTTGCTCAGCGTAAAGCGCTTTAAAGTCTAAGATATAAAGTTTAAGTAAAACAAAAACATTTATTAACTGAAAGAAAAAAAGGCTCTAATATTTATTGCATTTAATATATTTTAAAGAAACTTGTATGTACTAATCATAATCGTAAACCAAAAAGAATTCAATGGCAACAATAACCAACCGAACGACGACAACGATGAAAAGATGTAAATAATTTTTATAAATTATCGGCGGACACGTTCGAATGTTTGTGTAAAACGTAGTTAGATATTCGAATGATCGATTTGTTAGGTAATAAGTGTTAATACATAGATCCTGCCACCATTTTTGCGATGTTTGTTAGCCTTGTTAGTCGCTTACGTAGGGGAGGATTATTTTCTTAACCCGCCGCACCCACAGCCGTCGACCTGCAGACACAGCCGCAGCTGCAGAATCATCAGAACGACTCCGAGGGCGGCTGCATGTGCTGAGACAACAGCGCCACCACCACCAGCGATATGAAGAAGTGATGATGATGATGATGATAATGATGTGAAGACTACTCCTCCCCCCGCATTCGCACGCACACACTCGCAAGCAGCAGAATGGATCAATTAACGGAAAAATATTTACAATGAATTTTACTAGTTAAGCTCTCACTTCATTCAAAACAATAACGTGTAGCCTGAACCGTTGAAGCGCTAAGTGTGAGATTTATTTGCGTTGTTACGATTTCGATGGGCACTGTGTGCGTGTGTGTGAGACACGATGCAGACGAAACAATATTGTTCTTATTAATTGCGCGCATCGATCGATTTTTATTTCGGTTTGTTTGTTTATTCGCGGATTTACCAAATAGCCAATTCTACCGACTTTTACATACCATACCATATTGCAGATGCATACTTGAATTATGATCACGACTGTATATTCATGCGAGAATGGATGCGATTGTAATTTTTCTATTACTATTAAACATGATTTTGCCTATTTAATAATCTGGAATGATTGAAATAAATCTTGATTGTGTCGGACGTTCGAAAAATAGCTGAAATTTAGTTGAATTTAGTTGATTTTAATATAAAAAGGTTATATTTATGTTGCAATCATCAAAAAACGTTGAAAAAATGACATTTAAGACTAGAAAATAGTAATTTATGTTGAAAATAGTGCGTTTTAGGGGTTATGGTATGTGGTGGATCATATAAATCAAAATATCCATGTGATTTTCTGATCCGGAGAATTTCACCGTGCGTCAACTTTCTATGCAAATGATATGCGTGCGAGCGAATCATCGCATCAGAAATCACAATGATGTCATTACTCACTCACGCTTGCGGCTGATGCGATGAGCGATTCAAAATATGTAAGATAATGTGATATTTTGTTAGATAAATTTAGATAAAAACTACATATCGAATCGGTACGTACGCAAGCATAGAACAATACCCCGAATTGCGTGCACTTGAAGCAATCAAAATGACCAGCATATTGCACAGATAAACGACGCAGCTACTGTGCAGCGTGTAAAACAAACGTTTGTTATGATTAGACATCTGTTAGTCACTACATCCTGGCGTGTTTTGGACTAGGAAACAATTGCAAGCTATGGAAACCAACAGACAGAACGTGGATTGGGGCAGGTATGGCCTTGGTGAGAATGCCACACGATCAAGAGGGAATGTTGGAGGATTTGTGGACCTGGGGAATGAGTATGAGTATGCAGCTGGTGGACATCAAGCTTCTGGAGCCAATGAGATCTTTGCTGAAGAGCAGGTGAGGGTGTTATTAGTATAAGATTAGATTTTGTTTAATTTTTGTGTGTTTTTGCTTAGGGTGAGGTGCCTTGGTGGAAATCAAACTTTTTTATATCACAGAGGGTGTTATTTGGCACATGGGATGGTGTGTTCACATCCTGCTTGATTAACATTTTTGGTGTGATTGTGTTCTTGAGATCTGGCTGGATTGTGGCTCAGGCTGGGATTATTAGTGCTGTGTTAATAGTTTTATTTACTGGTAAGTAAAATATTTAGATTTACATTGATTTTTAAGCCTAAATTATCTAGAAATTTGAATTTATTAATAATTTAATCAAATTTAAGCTTTAGAGATAATAATTTTGGAGTGGTAATTGAGTATTTCCTTAAAAACTCTTTGTTTTATTGAGAATATGTACTAATTTATAGCATGAAATGAATAAGGTATATTTGGCTATCAATTGTGAGAAAATAATCAATTAATTGTAACAATCAACAAAATGGCGGAGGATTTAAAGCGATTTTTCACCAAGCATTTAAACTTTATTATTCTCTTTATTTTCAGTGTTTGTGGCTTTAATATCAGTACTATCAGCCGTAGGCATCTGTGAAAGATGTCGCATCGAGAGCGGAGGAGTATATTTTTTAATCGCCCATGTCTTGGGCTCAAGATTTGGTGGATCTCTTGGACTTTTATACTGTTTCGGACAGGTACAACACAAAAATCCACGTTTTTTCTACATTTACTTACTGTTTTGTTGTTTACTTACAGGCAGTGGGTTGCGCATTGAATGTTTTGGGTTTCGGTGAATCAATAGCCCTGCTTTTGGGAGTTGGTGACTACCCCTGGGCTGTTAGAAGCATCGCAGGCGCTGCAGTGATGCTCTTAAGTGTAATCAACATGGCGGGTGTAAAGTGGGTGATCAAACTACAATTTGCCCTTTTGTTGATCCTCCTACTCTCTGGGTTAGACTTCATGGTGGGTAGTTTCACCCATATTGATCCAGGTAATTTATTTATTAATAAAATTAGTTAAGAAATTATGTTTTTATTGTTTTTTAACAAATTTTCAGATCATGGATTTACCGGCTGGTTAACCGGTAATTTTCACGCAAATCTCTGGTCAGACTACAAAGACTACAGCTGGTTTACTGTTTTCGGCGTGTTTTTCCCAACAATCACCGGCATCCTCGCCGGAATCAACATGAGCGGTGACTTACGCTCACCATCGACAAATATCCCCAACGGCACACTGTCCGCACTCTTCACAGGCACATTTTTATATCTAGTTTTTGTTTTATTCCTTGGTGCAACATGCACACGACAAGTCCTCTTGGAAGACTTTCAAATCGCAGCTAAAGTATCAGCAGTAAGCGTTTTACTACTCGCCGGCTTGTATGTCTCTTCAATGTCCAGTTGTCTCGGCGCTATGTACGGCACACCGCGTGTGTTGCAATCAATTGCGCTCGAGAACGTAATTCCGGCATCGGTATGCTCGGCATGGGCCGTGGTCCAAACAAAGTGCCTTTGTACGCGATGGCTGTGGTCGCCATCGTCACTTTAACATTTATCTGCGTTGGTAACATCAACATGCTCGCGCCCATCGTCACAATGCCTTATCTTTTAACGTACGCGTGTATTGACTACTCGTATTTTACTCTGGCGCAAACGTTTGACTTGCAACATCAACGCGAAGAGCGATTTGTGAGGCGGAAACCATCACAGAATGGTACCACGCCTGTTGGGAGCGAAGGAAATGATTTGGATAATTTGTTTCCGGAACGTACACAACACAGAATACGAGTAAGTTGTATTTTTTAAAGAAAAGCACGAAAGAATATCAATTTTACATATTTATTAGGGTGAATCAAGTTCAACTTCACCTGTTACACCAGATGAGAATGGAGAAATCACTCCAATTGTACCAAAAACACACATTCATTCAAAACCGAAGAATTGGTACTCTTTATTATGTAACAGATGGTTTTCTCTCTTCGGAGCAGCGTTAAAACTCTTCATAATGTTCTTTGTCAACTGGGGTTACGCCCTAACAAGCATCCTAGCTGTATTCTTAGTGTGGTTATACATCGGGACGACTAATCCAGCAGTAAAACCAGGTTTAGCTGCGGAGTTTCGATTCTTCAAATGGTTAAAAAATGCTTTACTTCGTTGTTTCGGGTAAATTAACACTAAAAAACACATTTTTCCGACTAAAACACTTAATTTGGTTCCTAAATTACAGAAAACGTGTCCATGAATATGAACAAATCGTAGTGACGCCTATACATCGCAATATTGACGTGACTTCAGCGCAGCTAAACGAAGACAATGAAGATTTTGCATCACGACGTAGATATCACCAGTCTGCGACAGTCCACGGCCACATGGTACTAATCGATGACTAGAAAGACTCAAATTCGAGGCTATTGAATAATTCTTGACTAATAATTTTATCTACATGACGAGAGTAAGCAATTCAGCGGCGCGCTGACAACAAAAACAATGCACAAATTTAGCTTTTCGATCACTTTTTACAAGAATAACATTTGTAATCAACATATATATTGTACACGATTAATGTGCGAGTATAGTAATTTATTAATATTTTACAACATTTCGAGATGTTTGCTTGTCGTTCGACATTGAGCGATAGATTTCTGGTAAATCCCCTCAACGCAACCTCATACTCGTAGGATAATGTTGTGTCAATGTTTGTACAAATAATTACCGCCTTGTTTCGGTGTTTTTTTGACTTTGCGCTTCTGAAACAACAATTAGCGCTTGGGCAGAGTCCCCACTTATTTTAGAAGCAACTATATATAGATTATGCTTCAAATTATTCTTATTACGTGATTTGACGTCTTGAAAAGTGTTCAAAATGGCGAATATAAGTTTATTTATTGTAATATTATGTATTTTGGGTTATTGCTCGGCATTTCCGCATGGTAAGCATTGATTTTTGCTAAAAAAAAATTTTTTTAATGTTTTATTTTGTAGCTGGACGTGGTTTTGGCGGAGGAGGTAGTTATGGTTATGAAAATTATAACTACGGATATTCCGGATGGAGAGGTGGTCCCGGACGTGGGTATGGCGGATATAAACATTTCAAAGGTCCTGGCTGGCGTGGAAATTATGGAGGTTATGGTCGCGGTGGCTATGGTGGTTATGGCGGATACGGCCCAGGTGGTTATGGAGGTTATGGCCCTCTGGGAGGCGGTAGCGTTGCATCTGCAAGTGCTTCCGCGTCATCCGGAGGCGGTGGTCCTTTTGGAGGCGGAAGCAATGCCCAAGCCAACGCAGAAACAGCTTCGTTTAATTTAGGACCACTTTCGGCTACGTTTTCGAAAAGTAACGCAAATGCCAACGCCTTAGGTTAAATTCTTATTAAAACTTTATTTTTTTCGTATAACATTTGTTTTTTTATTTACACCTTTCTAAGAAATATTTGTCTCGTATGCAAATATTTGAAATAAATCGGAAATTTGGAACCGGTCGTGATGCAGTTTTGTTGATTTTGTTAACGCGCGATAAACTCTCGCTGCCTCGAGGTCAGTCCGATGCGAGAGAGATCAATAAGCCATAAGTAGAAAGACAAGTTTTAGTTTTGGTCCAGTCGACGGAGAACAGCAGCTGCGCGCTCAGATTACGCAGATTACGCAAAAGTATGAAGAAAGCGCTGCTCCTTGTGTTGACGCTGTGCGTCCTGCTGACGCTCTGCAACTGTGCGCCTGCAGAGCAAAAGGATTCTCCTAAGGAAGCACAATGTAAGCAAAACTCTTTATATTCAAAAACAATTGCAATACTTTTATTAATAGTGAAAGTATAACTTTCACAATCGTAAAAATAGGCAACCAAATGAACATTTTTACAATTTCAGCCGCGTTTGTGCCTGTATTCGATGAAATAGTCGTTGAATCTTCCCTTACTGTGCGCAGAAAAAACGACGCAAGTCGACAAGGCCGTAATAAAAACCCTGCTAAAGTTGCTACAGTAACACCAACAACTGAAACAGCAGCAAAAGTTAAAAGACAATCAGGGTAACTACACATAACCTTAATTATACTTTTCTACTCACACTTACAACATTCATACTCATTTATTCGCAAAACAAACAAAACACTTTTAATAACATTTACGATGTGATTAGATTTAATCGTTTTCCAGGTTTTAAAAAGCCGCCATCTTGGAATGGTTTCAGCGGAAGTGTCGCCGACGCTCACGCACAATCCAATAACGTAAACGGCCCTCTTGGCTCTTTTGGTTCCTCAGCTACACATACACAAAATCAAGCATTCAATTTCGGCCCGAATGGTGCTTCTGCTTCCGCTGGTCTAGCAGCCACGCAACATTATTATTTCCCTAACGGAATGAAAATCGACGTTAACTTTTCCGGCGGTACCGCCGCTATTAACGGCCGCAATTCCGACTCGTCCGCATCATCCATCACCGTCACGCATCCAAAAGGCACAAAACGCGTTTACACTTAATTATAATAATAAATTCTGTCTATTTTTATAAATAAATAACAAATAAAGCGATTTATATGCAGTGCGCATGCGTAGATTGATTAGAGCGTTGAACTTTGCGTTGTCTATTGAATGAATAATTAAAAATCGATTGTTTGCACGTTTTTATTGATTTATCTATTTGCGGATTATGTAAAATGACTAAAAACACGTAAAATTTATTTCTACCTGTGTGTGACATCGTAATTCAAGGTAAAATCTTAGAAATTTACACTTTGTTGAGATTGGTCACATCGTAAATGCGTCGAAACTCTTCGCGTGAGGTTTATTACGTAATATTTGCATATCGGCATTTGTCGCATACCAATAACACTTTATTTTATTGTTTTTCAAGTCTTTAGACAACACTTGAGTCTTTCCTGTGCAGAAAACAGCACTCATGCGACTAAAATACAAAATGGCGCCGTTTTATTATGATGTGACATAAAAATACGCGTTAAATTTGCTTAAAACATAAACGCAACAGGATTTAGCTACATTTAAATTCACAATGCAAGCTAACGCTAATCTGAAGTTCAAAATCACACAGTTATGCAATCAGATCACGTTAAATCGACTTGTGTTAAGCAACGAAACAAAAGCAAATCAATGAAATTACGCACGCGTTGAATACTGAATATGAAATTAACGACTTTGACTACGGTATTCGCACATCCGTGAACATTTTTCAATGTCTGTCACCTGTTAGGGTTGATACAATTTGTCACCACGATGTCTAGTGGGAGGAATTCACTACCTATCAATATAAAAAGACGTTTTTTACATGGGAAAGTATCAGTGTTGACTTTGAAGTGCAAGATTCATCATGAAGACAATTATTGTAGTTGTTTTGGCGTATGCCATGACTATTTTTACTGCCAGTGCGATACCAGCAGGTAAAAACTTAAATTTTAACCTAAAATGTTTAAAGTTTGGTTATATTTGCGTTTTTAATGTTTTGAGGTTATGGAGGTTATGGTTATAGTAGACAAGTACCACGTTTACGCCGTGGATATCAACAACAACCGCAGGCGATGATGTTTTCCGGTTTCTATGGTCAACCATCATCATATGGACATCAAGGATCAATGTCTGCGTTTGCAAACAAAGATATGATCTTCACGAATTCATTCGCTGGTGAAGAAGCACCTATTTATTTGAATAATGAGCAAACAAATGAAAAAGAAGTTTTATCAGGACCAAATGAACAGGAAGCACCTATTGAAGAAGAGATAGAAGTACAAACAACAACAAAAAGGCCTTCTAAAGTTAAAAAGAACAAAAGAAAACCAACCACAACAGTAAAACCAGTTGAAGAAGTTGATCACAGTGAAGAAGATGAAGAAGAAGATCAAGAAACACCTTTTAGAGGTTCAAACAATGCAAATCGTCCTGGAAATCCAGGAAATCAAGCTGGTAACACTTTTTTCCCGGTAATTTTTGGTAAAAGTCAAAATGGCGGCGGTGGTCCCCCAGGCGCAGCCATTGCGATAGCAAACGCATTCAGTACAGGTAAAGGAGGTGTCGCCAGCAGTCATGCCACTGCCTACGGTGATCCATACTTCAGCCGAATGGGAAACAAAATAACGGTAACAAAAACAAGAAAAACTAACCCCAAAAACAACATATTGTACAATAGTTATATTAGTAATGTCTCATTTGCGTGTTTTCTGTTCGATTTAAACAATAACAATGTTCTCTCGCTTGTACCCGTGTCTTATCTAGCTCACATTACATCGATAGCAAAACAACATGTTAAATAAAAACCTACGAGTTAACAAAATATCACATAGTGACACCTTCAACACGCGCCGCCATCTAACCATTCCACCATCGTTCCATTCGTTTACATACATATATAAAATTATCTATAAAATTTCTGAGCAATATTTTACAATAGTTCCATAGAATTACACAATTACATTATTCGTCGCCGGTGTGATGTGATGTGTAAGTGTTTTGTGTGTGCGCGACTCTCGAAATAGACACCTATACATAATAAAACGTGACGTATATAAAAAGAACATTAATATAACCTACAAATATATAATTGGAATTATTTTGTTTCATACTTCTTGTTAGAATTCGGTTATTGTGATGTAGTGGTTCCATTGTTTAAACATTTCAAGTCTTCTGGTTTACATTTGTTTCAGTTCTGTTTTAAATATTTGAAAATATTTGAACACTCTAAGTGTATATAGAGTACCAACAGATGGCACTTGGTATTGTGGTGTGTTGATTTGCTGGTTTGGATTGATTGTGATATCGTTTGTTTATTTTATGGCAGGTTTCGAGATTCGCCCTAAAACCTATGTTATCATAATAATAATGGTAACTCTTAACTAACGAATTAAACTAAGCGCGGCGAGTGCATTCAACTGCGCATGCGCAGGCAGCGCTGTTAGAAGTAGTATAGAGTATTAAATAATAAGGCGCAAGTGTTCGCAAAGTGTGCTTTAGACATGTTTTCATCAAGTTATTAACTGATTAAATACTTAATAATCGAACAATTATCAAGAATAGTTTATGTAGGTAGTAGTCAATTCAGTGTTGCACGAGGCCAATTCGAAGAGATTTAGGTAAGTTTTTTTGTTTTTTTAAAAATTTAACCTAAAAAAGTTCAGTAAAAAGTGAAGTGTAAGTTGTTAGCGAATAACTCGTGAAAAACATGTCCGTACAACGAAACAACACTTATTTGTTACATATACCAATAGTAGTGGTGTAACAATCAATATATAAAAGTTAAAGAGTTAAATATTGTAAATAGTCCATCCTAACACTGTTTGTGTCGCGTGTAAATATAAAAATCGGTATGTACAATCGTTATCATTAAGACGTTTTTGTTTTAAGTGATCGTCAGATGTGAAGCCAAGAAACCTAATAAAATCCTTACTAAAACGCATATATAATATATAATATATATATAAAGTAAAAAAAAAAACAAAAAAAAGTATCTAGTTAAATATATCACAGATCGTCAATGCACGTTTGCTTACTCAGTAAAACAGCAGCTCGCCAATCGTCGCCGGCGTTCACTTTCATTTTCATTGCTCGACGAATTTTGATTTTCGATATTTGATTATGATCCGGCGTATTGCGGCATGTTGTGTGTTGTGTGTCAATCGATAAAAATATTATTTACAATATATATGTAGTGGTTGCGCAAGCGCGAGGTTGGGTGCAGCAGCGCTACTCACAGTTGTCAGCGCCGCGTTGCTTCGCTGTAATGGCCGCCAACTCCTCTTCGAGCGGCACCTGCTCGTCGACGAAATTTATACTGCCTGCTTTGTACCACACGATCACATCGACGAAAAATGCGCATAATAGGATTGCACCAGTTGTCCCTAGAAACAAAAATTTAAAAAATTACAATGGCGGCCATTTTGTGAGGTAAAAATGTTGTTTTGTGGTGCTTACCATGATAAAACATACGGAAAGTGCTTGAATCATAGAAATTACACGCGCCCTTCTCGTCATCCACCGTTTTCCAATCCAAACACGCCGAATCGACGACAGCGCCATACACGATCGGACACGGAACATTCCCGAACAACCCAATCGCGAATTGTATTAACCCCAGCGCCATCGCTTTATCTCTTGGGTCAACACACCGTAGAATTAGTAACATTGACCCGACTTCAGACGTCGAGTGAATGAAGACGAAGACGGAGAAAAGTATAATGTACCAGATGAAGTTGTTACACGGCGCCTCGCATGAGCCAATCGACGCGCTTCGAAACGGCGCGCCTGGCTCATCCGCAATAATAAGCGTGGCATTATCATAGACGTCTCGTAAACATGTGCAATCCGAGTATTCGACGATTTTCCCATCACGCTCGGTGTAATTCCGACAACCTGCGTGACACGCCGAGTAGTACGAGAGACCGTCCTGCCCGCAGATCGGCGCAAAACGGTCGCCGCTGCAGCTGCACGTCGTATTGCACACCGGCTCGGACAGGCCGTGGCCCTGCAGCTCATGCATCGGACAACCGATGAACATCAGTATACCCATACCTGGAAATGAATTATTACCGCATTAATTACGATGTAATAATGGTGCCTATCTGCGAAACGTACCTAATGCATAAATTACGGCTGTAAAGGCGATCCACGCGGCGACGAATCGCGCGTTTGGTTTCACTCGCAAGATGAACACCCCGCTGATGATTATGCCCAGGCCCATGACGAGAATACCACCAACACCTTTGAGAATTTAATCGTTTTATTAACAATCACAGGTTATGCGAAGAGTTTTTCTTTAACCTTACCAGATATCATGTTAGCTGAAGGTGTAGGCAACCGAAATTGCGACTCGAGATACTTAGGCAAAAATGTATACAGCCCGGCGATTGGCAGGATGTGCAACACGCTGCTCGCTGTCCGAAACATGAGAATATCATTCTTCAGCAGTCTTTTAACAGTCTTTGGGAAATCTGCAAGGTAATAAACATTTATTATGTGAATTAATAAGGCAACACACAAAAAAAAAACAAAAAAAAACGCGTGAATTTCGTTAGAAAATACAAAATAATCAAACATAACCTCTTTTTCTGAAAAGTATGACAAGTATTGATATTGGTCAAGTTCCTGCACGTATGCAAACGAATAATCACTAGTTAGCGATTTTCGTTCGGTATTGTGTAGGGATTATTAAAAAACAAACGGCGATAAGAAAGATCAATGACCACCACGACGTTGGGCCATGACTTTGCGCTATTACTCACACGCTGCGCGCTTATCGCCATGCGCGTTGTTCGCGCCGTGCTTGTGTGTTCGTGTGTATACTTTGAGCAATAAAGTGAAATCGTGCGAAATGTCGCTGCTCACCTCTAATGCTCGGATGCTTCCGGTCGTTGCGATGAATCCGCGGCTGTGGTGCGCTTGGCAATCGCTTCGGGAACGCAAACATCGCGAATGAAGTCAACATTAGTAATCCAGAAATTAATACTAGACCTATGGGAAAAAAAGAACAACAAGTTATATTGTATCATAACCTCACTTTTGAGATATAATATTTACCTAACCACCATGCACCAACCCAACGTGGATCTGTCGCGTCTATTTTCGGATCTACTGATAAATCAGCATAGACACTCGTACAAAGTGATCCGACGATGAAACCCAGGGCAGGACCCAAAATTCTAACCCCAATTGTAATAGCTACATAAAAACACATAAAAAATTAAGGTTAAACTTAGGTTATGTCATGTTTTAGCTTTTAACATACCAAAATACAACGGTGATTCTTTACTTGCGACGTTATCATCAATATAGGGTATCCCCAAAGTATAAACAGCAGTCTGACCCATTCCAACACCTAGCAAACTGATGAAAAATATCGCCAGCACGATTTTCGTCACTGATGGCTGTATCCGATGCTCCGCAACCCAATTCTCCGCCATGTGTGGCATACCATCAAACTCCATATCAGTCAACATGGACATCTCCATCACTTCACTCAAATTCGCCTTGCAAATACTCGGATCTTTATGAATCCCAGTCAAATCATTCGAGTTAATCAATTGTTTCCCATAGATAAAGTGTGGCAGTGAGCAGGTGAAAGACGAGACAGCAAACAGGACCATACCCCATGCTATCCACTTGGGTCTATGCCCTTGACCGCCATAATAGGTCAGTAAAAGAGAGGAACCAATCTGGCCGATTTCGGTCGCGCTCATAATAATCCCGGTGATTTTTGATTGGATTTGAAACAGTTTCTCGATGGTTGTAATTGCGCTGACGAAATATGTATGGTACATTCCCTGCAGGACCCATGCAATGCAGAATACCATGAGGAAAGCTTGCTTGGATGCGAATTTCTGTAACCAGTTGGGCGCGCATGGTCCTAGGCCGCATTCGGTGTCACTTTCGTCGAAATCAGCATCGCCGTTGACGGAGAACGATTTACTCTGCGGTAGGGTTAGCTGAGTTTGCTCGCTGGGTAGGTGGTGGTCGTCATCATGGGCGTGCAAACGGGCGTTACCATTGGTGGGCGCGTTGTTATTCGACGCTTTCGTGCCGTTTGAGGTGGACCATGTGCTGCCATTGGTCAAAGGAGCGGTGGGCGCATCAGGGTTTGCCATTTTTTTTACCAAACTGTGATGATTTCAGTACGTAAATTTTATCACAAGTACGTTATCACTGAAAGAAAAGAATAAGTTGGTATTTATTTGTTTTGTAAGTTGCCTATGTTATATGGGTCGTTTATAGTGTGTTATTGGAATGAAACTTTGATGGTATTTATTTTATTCAAGTCCGAATCTCGTGTACACGGTGTTTGGAAAAGAAATAAAAGTGGATCTCGCCTGCCGCTTTCTAAAATGCCGGCCGAGTCGCGTGGAATCTTTACATAAGTGAATTGGGATTTAATTAATCGAAACGCCGCGCAGATCCGAGCCTCGCATGCGCGTGCGGTAATCGTCCGTAATGTCACTTTCTCGCGTTTTCTTGCCTCGCCGAACAACTGTTTAATGTAACTTGCGAATTTTTTATGCAAAAAATTCAACACGCCATGTTAACAATAGCAGTAATTTTAGGTTACATACTTAATCAGGTAAATTTTGAGGTTAGAATTAAACTAACGGCTATTAAGTGACTGAAAGTAGTCAATATGTAAGGTTATGTCGCCTGGATGTGAATATTATGTCGGCGCACGTCTCGGCGCTTAGAATTCATGCAATTTCGCGAAACCGTTGATGTTGCGAGCGCGTGTGGCGGCATGCCGGCGCGGCGGCGGGGTCAACGTCATCGCCGTTTCGTCAAACATTTATGTATGTAGGCTAAACTAAGAATATCGATTGTAGTTTGGGAAAGAAAAACGACGCCGCCGCGCGATGCATACTAAAATTAAACGCCGCTGCGGCGCTGCATGGAGGAGATGCAAACGGCTGCAGAACTGCGAATACTACGACGTGGAATGCGAGAAAGGCCCAGGAAGCACACACAGCGCAAGGTGCAACTGGCAAGTGCATCAACAGTTAGGATTGAAGTACGTGCAAACATCTAATGCACACCTTTTACGGCCCGTCACTCAGTGGTTGTGTGCTGCTTAACTTTTGCACAAGTTGCAACTATTAATAATAAGTATTTAAATTTAATGCGAAAAGCAAGAGTTGCGGGATGATGATGAGATGATACTTGAGATTCTTCGATGTCTCGAAGAAAGAGAAAGGCCCGCGGGCGGAGCGCGTCCTCCTCTCTTCTCAAGACAACTTAACTTCACTTTTAACTTGCTACGTTCATTCATACCTTCAGAAACGCCGGTTCAATTTCTATATCCTTAACTTAACGCACGGTTAGAAATTGTATCAACATTTTTCCGCGCACTGTGAACATGTTTATTATTATTTAAGTTTTTTTTTTTGAAAACTATTGTGATTAATTTTTGTTTCAGATCACTTTTGTTTGGCACTTGTTGAGAGACGCGTGCGTGTGTCTCGCGCGTGAAGAACACTTTCTCCGTGTGCGCTGAGGCACGGGGCACCCTCCGAAGACGAGAGTCAGGCGAGCACTGCGAATTGGCATGCGAGCGAGCGCCGTGGTGGCCGGCCGCGAGGGGGGCTCGACTATTAGCATAATGGTGCGCGGCATGCAGCGCGCGGACTGGACGCGGACGGCGTGACCCAAGCCGCCGATAGCGCCCGGAGAGGATGTGGGTTATCTCTTCAGCTGCCGAAACACCGGCACATGCTCTACACGCCACAGCATTCATAGAGAAGTACAGAAAATGTAAAAACTAGGTAAGTGTTTGGAAAATTCTGAAAATTATCGCGACATTTTGTTTAATTGCGGCAAAATATTATAAATAGGTTTTATTTTGAGAAATAATAATATTTTCTTGTATTTTAATTGCGAAAAGTGACGAAAACAATGAAAAGTAAGAAAAATCGTTTAAAATATGGAAAAATTAGTTTAATTAGTTTAAAAAATAGAAAATAATGATGAAATAGTAAAGAAAAATACATAATATCGTCTTTTACATTGTTTTTCAAGGAAAATTTATGAAATAATAGAGAAAATTGATGTAAAAACCTCAAAAATTAAGAAAACCCCCGGAAAAAACGAGAAATTATCACAAAAATGTGTTTTTAGGTTAATACCAACTTTAATTTTTCTTGTTTTTTACTTATCATGAGTTTAAATACGAAGAAAAACCCAGAAATCGATCAAAACCCAAGAAAACCCACCGAAAACTATGACATTAACACAAAACATCATTAATTAAGGAAATACTCCAAGAAAACGATGTTGACTCGTCGATAATAACATTTGTATTGAGTTGTTGTGTCATTTGCGCGTCGTGCCGGCGCGGCGTGCATCGCTGGTTGCATTCGCCCTAAATTAATATCGATTAGTGCTCATTTGCTTCAATCTATCTAGTTCTAGTCCGGCACAAATGCTGCACAATTTACACGCAGTTAAAATAAATGCACAATCAAATCAACTATCATTTCATTAAATACATAAAACCGGTATTTATGAATCTAACCTTACATTTTTCAATTAATTTTACGCCATTTTGAAAAGAAGAAAAAAAACAGATGAACGAAATACCACGACATTTGCATGTTGAACATTTCAACATTTCGAAAACCATAACGATTGTAATATGCAGATTGGTGTCGTTGGTGTGTGACACACGCATAAATATGGAAATCGGCGATAAAACCAAATTTAAAACGGTGCTTTATTTTTTCCAACGGTGTGAAAAGCCTCAACCTGAGAAAACTTGCGCGAAAATAACCTTCTTGCATAGAGGTGTAGAAGGCGGCGGTAGTTGTAGGTCTAAGCACACAGGCGGCGGGTGTGGGTTGTGATGGTTGTGATCGTGAATGCGCGCCTGCCGCTCGCGGAGACAATTAACGCGTCTCATCGGGCCCGAAAATAAACTTCGCCTCGAAAACGCACCACGACCGGCGGCGTGTGACCTACTACGGGTGCACTCAACTTTCGCTAGTTAGCCGGAGAGCCACCCGGCCGCTGCGCGCATTTTATTCGAAAGCGTTTTATCACACCACACATCCAATATTTATAATTTGTAAAAAAGGATAATTGCTCCAGATGTCATATCACATCATATTTGGGGTAATCCCATCGCGCGCAATAAAAACACATCTTAATCACAAAGTTTTGTGTGTGGTGTGTAAAAACTGTGTTACTTTTGCGCGCCGAATCGAGGTCGCTTCAATATTTTTCTCAGTTGGTCAAGAGTTTACTTGTACTTTTACTTCGCGCGGCTCGATTTCGGCGATTTGCAGCCGCCGGCGGCCGAAAACCAAAGAAGAAAAAAAACACGCGCCGACATTAAATTTCTATTAAGGTTTCGCCTAATTATTTCACATTTAGATGCACGAAAAGTTGTCTCACAATAATTTATCAATCGGATGCGTTTGAAATCGAGAAAGTTTAATTTAACATATAATAAAGCAAGAAATAACAAAAAATAGAAGCAAAACGCACGCAGTTTATATTTTCTGACCTGTTTTCACAAGTATCTTGCAGAAATTGATTGAAAAATCAAGGTCTACATGTCAATTCATGCAATTAGATTATATTTTAAACGTTTTATACAAGTACAAACAATTTTTTACAACTGGACAACAAAAATAACCCTAAAATTTCACTGTTTTAAAATTTTAGAGTATAATTTAGCAGATGGCGCTGTAGTCGGGTATTATGCGATGTTGGCACTATAGGCAACCAAATAAACACGTCAATAAAACTTATTTCAACAAGCAGTGTGCGTCGTTGATAGAATTTGTGTTGTTGGGCGACGAGTTACACCGAACAAGTAACATTTATAACACCATACACATAAAACACGCGCCGCGCAGACGTCGCACATACGATTTCTTCAAATTATATAATTAACAAACAATTTTATCTGAACAAACAGAAGTGAATTTAGGTCAATACAATTTATACAATGTCCACATTGTATAGGCGCGTATCGCAAGTAAGTGTACAAGCACAAGTAGGAGGCCCGTAGCGGATTGGTCGTGTGAGTAGGTCTTTGATTTGAATTATTCGCATTGTCATGTTTCGTGTTAGCGGCGCGCCCCCTCGCGTCAACAAAATCGCGGGGCGCGCGCGCACACATTCGCCATTCATCCGCCGCGGACAATGGCACTTGTCGAATTGCGTTGTTATCGCCATTAACGCCATTATATTATTATTATTCAATTGGGTTTTCGTTAGTGTATGATTTCTTTTTCGCGCAGGGTCAAAAAACTGACACACGGCGGAATTACACGGAAAATCCCGAAGAATAAAAAGAGATTTGAACGCTGGTAAAAGATTTAGTTTAACTTGACTTTCAATAAAACCACTTTCGACTCATCAATGAACCCATCAACGTTGTGAAATTGCAAATTCAGATACGAATTAAATTTATCAACACAATCGAATGAGAATAAACGATCGCATGCGTTCGCCGCGTAGTGTTGGCGCATGTGTGTTGGTGTAGTTGTAGATGAGCACCGGAATAAATTCGTCTGACTTTCGAAATGTCAAGGTTATAACACGACGAATTTGCTACATTTGTAGCATTTGTTTATGTGAATTCAGCGCACGTCGGTGCGGATGAATGAAGAAGGCGCATTGTAAACATGTTTATTTTCGTGCGGGAATTCAGCGCAAATTCGGACATTTTATTTTTATGGCCGCGCGCGCGCAGATGAAAAGTGAAATGGGAATGAAAAGCGCGAGAGCGCGCACGCTCCGACGCGGACCGAGAGGAAAGCACAACACAACACAACGCAACGCTGCACAGAACTCTCACTTGGGCTTCAATACAAGGTAAAAATATATAGGCGTGTTACGCTATTTATAACATTAAAAATGTAGTACCTATTTTTATGGTCTTTTAATTTGATTTAAAAATGTTTGGGTTAAGGTTATGTCTTTTGGCATCATTAATCATATTGACCCACAGGGAGGGTGGGGAACTTAAACCCTCTAAAAGTGGTGGGGTAGACTCCTTCTCTCATTTTCTTCTATGATTGAGTCAAAGTTGATTAGTTGTACAGTAGAGTCCGGTTATAATGACATCGAAGGGAATTGACAAACACGTCATAATAAGCGGACGTCATACAAAAGCATTTTGTGAAATGAAAACCCTTTGTGTAAATATGTATATATACATACATATTAAATCAAAATCAAAATTGCACGTAATCAGCACATTATAACACATTCAAGTGTATTTTTACTGCAAGTAATCTGTAATTTTGTCTGCTTTTGTTTTTCATTTAATTAATTTTCTTGTGATTTTCGAAGCCTCTTCGGTTTCAAAACATTTGAATTGAACGATTGCATAATACAGTTATGGTTCTTTAAAAGCATTGAGATTGTCGAATGACCCACGCCAAATTCGGATTAATGGAAAATACGGAAGTCGTGGTCAAGGTGCTGGTCTTTCCGATAGTAAATACATAAATGTAATTTGACAATCATAAAAAAATGTAGCAATAAATATAAAAAGTTCGCCACGTGTCGAACGTCGTCGGGTATCAACGAACATTACCGGAGGTGTAAAGAATCATGTTGGTCATTATAACCGAACATAATTTATTAAAAATGGGTCATAATAAGCGACATGTCACTGTAAGCGAAGTCATTATATCCGACTTTTTTATACAGAATTTTATATGAAAACCAAACTTGGTAGTGTAGTTACGTCATAATAACCGGTTGGTCAATATAAGCGGAGTCATAATAAACGGATTCTACTGTATTTAAATTGCATTAAATGAGTCATAATTGTGTAAAATTTTATATTATTAAACACGTAAAGAGTCAAAAAGTCATGTTCTGCTGATTAATCACAAAAACAAACGCATTACACTGATAAGCAAGCACAAACAATTGCAAAACGCCCCGAGTGCATGAGTTATCACCGCAAATAACGCGCGATGTATAAATAGATATACGTATAATAAAGTTCTCAAATATGCGCGCGAGTCCATTTTGTGAAAATGCTTGTAAAACAGGTTCCGCAGATAGTTGCGTCTCTTCAGTGAAATGCGTGTGTCTTACCGGCCGGTGTAAGATACAAGTGCACAAGTGCACAGCGAGCAACTGTACATGCTGTACATGCCATTCATAGAATAAATCTGGCGAGAGTGACTCGCCAGACGCCAGACTGCGACTCTCGCTTTCATCGCACACTGTGCGCTGCGCGGCGTTACGATTTTAATCGTCGCTTTAATGCAGCTAATTGTTTGATGCATCGCTTTGTTTGTGCGTCACGCGTGCGTTCGCTAGGCTAGACGGCTCGTAGATCTCGTGCACGATAAGTTAAAGAGTGTTAAGTGCCCGGATGGTTAAGCGATTGATTGTTTCATTGGTAATGACGCGCGGCGGCGCGAATCGAGCCAACAAGCGCATAACAAAACGATTCGCTTCGATTTTGTTTTCTGTTTTTCTGCCTGCCTGCGCGCCTGCATACATGTATATTAGAGTAGAGTATTATGCGTCAGGTAAGCTTTGGGTGCTCTCTGTGTGTTATTTCGACTTGCAAGCCGAGTTTTTCGAGGAAGTCGGGCCGAAGTCCAAAAAATGTTCGAACGCCTTGTTGTCGGACTTGTTTCGTGGAACCGACGACGCCGAGACGCCGTATCACATCCGGTGCGTGCGCGCGCGAACCACATTTTTCGGTGGTTTCTTAGTGTGTCGGCACGAAATCATCGAAACGAATCGAGCGCCGGCGGCGGGCCTGCCGAAATTCAATTGTTACTATTATTTTCACCTTGACCCATCCATCCGCGTGAGCGCGCGCGCGCCGCCGAAACTACGTCGTGTGTTCCGTGTTGTGTGTGTGTATGGATATTTCGGTTTCCGAAATTTCGCGGCCAAGCCACTGCGTCTCGGCGTTTTAATGTGAACGAAGGTCACCTTTGCACAGAACCATTTTTCGCGAGCAGAAGCGTGTAAACATAATCGGCACTTGTTTACGGATCGAAACAAGTGGCAGCCGAGATATTTTTAGCTAGAACATTTGAATGCCAATGACTACATTAACAAACTCGGTATCAAATTAAAGCACACATCACTGCCGATAAAATGATACCACATTCATTAAAATGTGATAATTATACACAGAGTTATACGCGTTTTAAATTTATTAGGTTATAAGCAGCGACAGTAGCGACACCTATGTAGAAATTCAAAGCTATCGCTTGCATAGCATTGTGCAACACAGCAAAAAAAAAAAGGTCTGGAGCGCATCGCACGTCGTAAGATGCGCCAGCCGAGTCTCGCTCTCACCTCGAGGGAGATAAATAAAAGTTGTTGGCCAACCGCTGCTGGCGTGTCGTCCGCGTCTCTCCTGCATCAGCGGGGCTCATCGCGCCGATAACCGCGACCGCCGCCGTCTGGCCCAGCAAACAGACACACACACACAGCAACCGCATCGCTATCTCGCGCAAATATGAAATAAATACAAAGGTATTTATACAATCATACCGGGGCGCTACTTTCCTGGATGAATTTCTTTTTAGTCACACTCGTAGGCGGGCCGGCGGCTTGTTTATGTTTGGCCGCGCGGGCGTCTGTGTACAACACACACGGAGGGTATAAAAATATATTTACGATGCGTGCACGCTCAATCGAAAAAGCGTCGTTTTCTGCGCGCTCGCGTGCGCACACACACGGTCGATGCCGGGCGGTCGACGTAGACGCACCGCCAGACGGCGCGAAGCGAAAGGGACACCACAATTCGTCCTCGTCACGCGAGCGAGCGCGTTTTTCGGCTAGACGCACCACGATATTATCTAGTTCGACGCAAAAGACCTGCACCTAGAATAAAATCCAAAACCCAAGTAGTAGTGTAGTAGCTTCGTATTTTACCTGCATTTGCAACCGATGACAACATGGTTTTTATCCAATAACTTGCGTCACAAATTCGTTCGTCCTTCGACAAAACACACGCCGGCAAGATTTAGATTTAATAGTGTATTATGTGATACACACCGAAAAAAAAATTGGTAATAATCGCGTGTTGATAATTTTGCGCTTCGCGATCGCGTCTGCTGGTGTTGGGTATCTGCGTGTGGAAACGTTCCGCGCGCCGTCGACGAACTCGCCGGACTGCGACTGCGACGAGGAGCGCGAGCGCAGACCGGCGCACCGCGCTCTCCGACCAGTCGCACGCTCGGATTCGGATTCCATTCCGAACACCGCGCCAGGCGAAAACCTACCCGACCGAACTTGATTTTCGGCTGTTTATGGCCGGCAAGTTGAAATTCTTGCGTTGCGCATCTTCTAGCGTTCGAAATAGGCAGCACATGTGTTACGCAACAGCCGGCCGTGTTTGTTTATGTGTGTGTGGGGGCACCTTGCGCGCTCTGCGCCTCGCCTTTGTTTGTCTTTTTGCGCCGAGCGCACAGCTCGCACAGGTACCGAAGACGCCGTCAATAAAGATTGACAGGACCGGCACAGGATTACGAAAAAGCATCCATTGGATCGTCTCTCAATCACAGCAAATTTATACAAAATATCAGTCCTCTTCACAAACGGGAGCGCGGGGTGTGAAGCAGCCACAATTTAAACTAATTTAACAGATTACAAAGTAGAAAAACAAATATAAATTAGCTAATTCTTACAGGCTAAACAATTCTCAGGGAAAATTTATAACATATCTATGAGTAACATGTAAGGCAACAGTAGTTGTTTCCATTTTTAAATCTGTAACCAAATTATTCAATTTAACATAATTAAATTTAATTTTTACAGAAATTGACTTACATGGCAACACAACACCTGGAACAAAATTGTTCAGAACATATACTGCAGCTTTTTATACACTCTGGACACAAGGACACCTCACAAAACCAGCAATTCCCTTGGATGAATTTAATATCATTGCATTCCACACACAATCGATGAGCAGGAGGTAAATTCTATAAAAACAAACTTATTTCACAACTTTTTTCATTTCTATCTCTTATTTTACTCACAGCATTTGCATCGGAGAGTGCCACCCCTGTTGGTGATAACACATTGTTGTTATTCATACCGGCAAAGAGTAAACTTAGGGTTTTATCTGCGAATTAATATAATTAGGTGAGTGGAAAATGTTTTAACGGTCGCAGTGGTGCAAGAGGCGTAGATAACCTCGAATTTTACCATAGATACTTTTTCTGTATGACTCGTCGCGTAAGTCGATGTCACGCGTAGCGACATGCTGTTTCCTTTGCGGCTCACAGTGATCTTCAAAAGGACACACTCGTTTCGACATTTTGCGCGTGTGGAAGCCGTTCACGTATTTTAATTTCCACTGCAGAAAATGTTCGGAAATAGAACTGGGTTACGAGTATGCAGGCGGTATGCGCAACGAATCACGCACCAGTATGCATACAGCACATGCGCACTACATTCGTGACAGACCGGATTGATTCGGACTTTGAAAACTTTCAATAGTTTGACATAATTTATACTTCAGAAAAACGGTTACAACTGGTTACAATATCGAAACTATTTATACATTTCTCGGTTGCAGACATAACAATTGCAATCGCATGCGTTGTTTACACTTGATGATGATATCTTCAACGATCCTGTAAGTAATTCAACATTCATTATTTAACAGTCATTTTTAATCATTCTCAAACTTACGTTTTATCACCGGGGTTTTCAAGTCGTGGAATGGCGGCCAAAGCTTCATCAAAATAAAATTTCGCTTCCGATGTTAAATATCCTTGGAAAACCTCGCGTAACATTCGAATATCCGCCGTGGCTTGTTGAATGCCTGCCGTGCTGAAATTCCGCACGCAATCCATCAATCTATACAATTCCTCAGCGATTGTCTGCACAACTTGTGGTAAAACACTGTCTACCAACGCAGGCGAGATACAATTCACCTCACAATGCACATGTATCAAATTATTTATGCATTCTTTCGCGTACGGACGAATATCTTTCGGTGTAATATTCGTATCCCAATCAAAACGTTCCAAATACATCGACGGTTCAATAGTTCCCACAAGCGGATCACTTTTTTCTTCTAAATAATACTCCAGGACAGATTTCTCCAATGATTCTAACTTAGATGCGCAGTTTTCAAATGCTTGCTTTGGAACAGGATAACCACTCTTCGCGAAACTCTCTTCTAAATTTTTCAGAACAACTTGTCGAGTATACTGACAATTAGCCAATGAAGTAAGTAATCGTTTCTCCCACGTTGGCAGTGTTTTCTTGTTGGCGTTGTTTCGATAATTCGCAGGTGTACCAATAAGTTGCGACACCACCGGCGAAGAATCGTCATCTTCGTTCTCTTCTTTCGCAGCTAAATTCGCTAAAACCTTGTGGAATACTCCCAATAATGCGTCGACTTGATTATCAAGCTCTTTATGCGCTGTGGGGTTATCCAACAATGAACCTTCGCGTTGTTCACTTGTCAACACAGATTCCCTGATTATTTGGATCACTTCCTGCACGGCCTGCTCGAATTTAATCGGTAATTCAGTAATACCATTGTGTTTGCCATTGAATTCAATCCGCCATGTTTCTTGCTTCGACAACTGTTCAATTTGTTCCGCGGCTTGTTTAAATAGAATATTCATACAGTAAATCCTCAAATCAAGTATAAATGTGAATACAATATCCAGCGCTTCATTGGGTAAGTCCAACTTAATCAAAATGGCGTAGGTTGCACGCACGTGACGTAAGCAAGCCGGCAGCCACGGTTTTACAAGTTCTGTATCACTCTGCGCCCATGATCCGAACGTTGCTTTGTCATAGTTTTTATCTAAAGTATGTGGAATAATTGCAGCGCGTAATGTTTTGCAAAACATCTCCATAATTGCAAGCACAATGTGTTTGAACTCCACTTGTCTGCCAGGTTCTATTTTTACGTGTAATTCGCCAGTGAAGTAACTCTGACCAAGTTTCCATAGATTAGGGAATAATTGCGAGACAATTTCGCATAGATCTTCAACGAATAAGACAGATTCCGGCACTCCTGTCATATCTTGTGGCGTGTTATTGAATTTTGCGAATTTATTACCACTGCCTTTTATTTTACTCTCATCCAGGGTGGCTTCTTCGGCGTGTTTATGCTCTGTGTAGCATTCTTTAACGCGTTTGTTTAAATAATCGTTGTGGCTTTGTATAGCGTCCCATGCTGGTTCATAGGCTGCTTCCAGGTTAACCAAATGCCGAATGAGGCGTTTTTGTTCTTCGACTGAGATTGGCATGCGTGTTAGTTTGCTGTGCAACATTTCTTGGAGCAAAGCAACACGTCGTTCAATTTCTACCAGCGCCATTTTGAATATAGGCACGTCACTCTTATTAAATAGATTTTTAACGCGCATGTAGTCATTGATAACGATATCGTAGTCGCCTTTCTTTATATTGCGTTCGATTACGCAGGGTAAACAGAAGAGAAAACGGAAACGTGATAGGACATTCAGTGCGTTTCGGGTCTTCTCAGCGCGATCACGACGTGTTAAGACATCATCGAATAGTTTTCTTGCTTCACGTTCCGATTCTGAATAAAAATATATTTGTTTTATAAAATTAAGTAAATTTTGAGTGTTTACAAACCTTTGATTGCTTTTTCCAGTGTTAAAGTTGGTTCTGGTCCTTGTATTCTTGCATCTTTTTTGAATTTCTCATCCAGGATCATTGTAGTGTCCAATTGGTCAATGACAGATGAAATATTTGCTTTTAGAAAAGATAATTGTCCTTCTTTCTGCCCATCTACCTTCCTCCTTAGATGTACCATACTAAAATAAACAAAATAATTATTATTTTCTTAAATTTTGTACCTTTTTTTAACACTACCCTGCTTGCAAATCATCAAAAGAAGTAACATGATGATTTTCCAACAAAAACCATCCAGGAGAAAAGTTCTCTGATGAAATATCCCCTGATGAGTTGGGAAAATGTTCAATTAATTCATCTTCTGGAAACTTTTTCTCATTTCCTTCTACTGATAGACCCAGTGGATCCTCCTGTTGATAACTACTGGGTGATAAGGAGTGTCTGCCCCATACAAAAAGAGGTGCTTCTTCAACCCATACTGAACTGTCTTTCATAGGGCCAATTGTTTTCTCAAAGTAGCCTTTGAAAGAAACATTGCAGGTACCCTCACCACCTATTCTTGTGGTGATGATTACATCTCCTGTACCCTTGCAGGGACCCGATATTGCTATGATTTTTGTGGATGATTTCCATTCTGCTGATAGCAGGCAGTCAAAACCACAAATTCTCAATCCTGCAAGTGAAAATCAGTAATAACCTACTAAATTTTTGTTTTAATAAGTTTTGACCTACCTATTAGATCTGTGGGTTTTGTTCCGAAGTTTTCTCCTCTAATTGTTATTCGTGTGCCATGAGGGCCTTCATTGGGGGAGAGCCCGGTCACCACCGGTGGAGGTACCATTATTTGCAGTAATTCCTGCAGTAAATAACTAAACAAGTGATGAAAACATTGTCAGGGAGTAGGATTCAGCTGTTTTTATACTGTGCTTACAAAGCAAATAAAATCTTGTTTTTCATGTTTAAAGTTTATTAAAAGTATTTGATTTCAATATTAATGGATTGTTTAAAAGGGTTCTTTATATTTTTGGTTAAAATATGATTTGTAGTCTTTTGGCATTAGTTTTGAACATTTTGGATGTTTTGTTCAACACTCGGTATAGATTGGTGTATCAAATGCCGCAGCGCCTCTTGTGTTGAAATAGTGAACTTTATGGCATGCGTTTGTCATAAAATTTGTACATGCGCATTACTGTATTGTTTTGATGATAATTTGATAACGAACACTCGCTAGCGGTCGGTTTTGCGTTTTATCGGGGAAGATCCTCGTCACGAGAAGCGTGAGCGGCGCCAATACCGCCAACCTCAAGTGTACTTTCGTTTTTATGCGTTTTGTTCACGCATCGGTTTGATTCTCGCCGCGCGCTTGAAATACGAGCGCGTCCGGTAGGTTATCAGCGGATCGAAGAGATTGTAAACGGCCGTTCGTCGTTTGTCTTCGGCGAAAACGACTTTGTTTAACGCGTAACCCACTTGTCCTTATCGTGCACAGCATGAGTGAACAAGAAGCAGAACCACAAAACCCACAGAACACCAATGTAAGACACAATCAATTGCGGTTTAGTTTTAGTTCTTTCATAATCTAATGCGTAATGCGTAATTTGAGGTGTTTGTATTGTTGATAACCAGGTAGGCATGTGAATAATTGAGGTATGTTGGTTTTGAATTGCAGATGAGTGCACATGATATGGAGAAGATGGAAGAGGAGAAGTTGAAGGCCAAGTATCCGGCGGGTGCAATGGCTGCAGGCAGGTCAATCAGTGGCCACACTGCTTTCTTACAAAACGACTTGCTAAAGGAGTGAGTAATCTTCATTCACACGCGATTTTCTTAAAATATTGAGTAAAATATGTTAATTTCTTCCGTTTTTTAGCAAAAATTCTTTGATTCTGGTGATTATCAGATGGCAAAGCAGAAGATTGGCATCAATAAACAGCCACCGAAAGTCGCCGGCCCTGCGAATCCGTTCGGATCAACTGGCGATGCCATTCCCACACCGGAGACCGTCCCGGCACGAAAAACTTCCATAATCCAGCCGTCGAAGTTCACGCCGAACATCAGCTAGTTCCGCAGATGGCGGGCGGCGGTAGTTGTTGTTTAGTTCGCTCATCGGCAGCCACCCGCGCGTTCGGAAACGATGTTTATATTTTCCTATGTGCGTCGTCTTATTAATATTAGTATTCATTTGCTTATGAAAATCGTTCTCAATTAACTGGTGATACACATAAATCTATTAACACTAACAATTATTTGAGTTATCTCCACAACAGCACTAGCACTAGCGCTACAACTTCGAATGGATGATTGTAAAGTAAACGAAAACAAAAAGACTTTGGGCTGAGAGTCACCTTTATTAGGTCATTAGGTATTATAATATTTTGGTCAGCTGTTGATTAACAAAGAAAATTACTAACTGAAACAAATCGAGGCAAAGGAGTTGCATTAAAATGTGAATTTATGTATTAAATTACTACTTTTTAAACAGATTTTCTGTAAATCTCACCGGTTTTCGAAGAATATTTAGTTTAGTATTAGTTTTTTAACTAAATTTTATTGTTTTGTATATTGGGTTGACTATTTGTAAGGCGCAATACTGCGCAGACGCTACGCGCATCTGTTGACGTTCACACATTTTATTTGTGGATTGTGGTGATTGTGGACAACAACTCAACAACCCGATCGCCATATTTATCGCCTCCGCGAACTCGTTTTCCACTGCTATCTGCGCTCGGGGTGCACTGTGTCTCGCCGATAATAAACACCCGCGTCATGCCAATGGCCATCGGCGTGTTTTGACGACGTGGACGGCGAGAGATCTTGCGTTTAAACCGATCCCTTGACTGGGTGCGTGCTGCAAAGCAACGAACATGAATCGTAGCGGTGACGGGCTGGTGCAGCGGCGCAACATTCTCCGCGAAGGCCGTGATGACGGCACCCCTCGCGACCTCAATTCACCCGAAGAGAAAAAGGCCGACCGAGGCGAAGGCGCCGACGATGGCGACTCCAAAGAGACGCGGCTCACACTAATGGAAGAAGTGCTTTTACTGGGTCTCAAAGATAAGGAAGTGAGTTCATTCACAGCCATAATCTGCGTATTCTAATTACCTCATTCTTGACAAATATTTGTTCTGTTATACCAGGGCTACACATCGTTTTGGAATGATTGCATTTCAAGTGGACTCAGAGGTTGTATCCTGATTGAATTGGGCTTGAAAGGTAAAGTTGAGCTGGAAAAAGCGGGTATGCGACGTAAATGCCTACAGAGTCGAAAACTCGTTTTGAAAAACGATTCTGCCACCGGAGATGTCCTGCTGGATGAGACTTTAAAACATTTAAAGGAAACACAACCGCCAGAAGGGGTACAGTGTTGGATTGAGTATTTGAGTGGCGAAACGTGGAACCCGCTTAAGCTGCGTTATCAACTGAAAAACGTCCGGGAGCGTCTAGCGAAGAATCTAGTTGAGAAGGGCGTGCTTACAACGGAGAAACAAAACTTTCTCCTGTTTGACATGACGACACATCCGCTGACAGATAATATTGCCAAGAGTAGACTAGTTAAAAAGGTACTAAACCTATTTATAAACCTCGAAGTTGTAATATTTTAATATTTTATGATTTATTTTCTCTATAGATACAAGACGCTGTTCTAAGTCGATGGGTGAACGATCCACAACGAATGGACCAACGCACGCTAGCGCTCATCTTCCTCGCGCACGCCAGCGATGTCCTGGAGAATGCATTCGCGCCGCTCAACGACGACGACTACGAGCTGGCGATGAAGCGCGTCCGTGAGCTGCTGGACCTCGACTTTGAGCAGGAGGCTACCAAGCCCAACACCAACGAGGTGCTGTGGGCCGTTTTCGGCACATTCACCAAGTAAATACGCTGCGCACGCTCGCCAAGGTGGACGATTTCAGTATTTACGACGCGACGTGCAGTCGCGCACAGTGCAAACAATTCACGACCATTCAAAAAAAAACAGGAAAAACACGAAAACATTTATATGATAAACGTTGAGCGAGCGCAAACGGAAACATCACTCGTGTGAAATATTTACCCGATGATAGAGGATAGCAGAAGACGCAAAGAATCTTAGCGAATAAGGATAAATAAATAAATAAATATTGAAGACATGTATGTGATACATGCAAGTATAATGTAACGCACTCTCGCCGAGCGCGGTATTAACGGATAAACGCCAGTGTCGTAAGATAAATAATCTTAACTATTGTTAATGCATATAAATTTGTACATAACTTGTTTTTATACACGAATTATCGAGATTAATCGGGAACGGTGGCGATGCGCAAAGCTTCAAATTTCTTCTCGGCATTCGAGATGTTTTTTTTTTTCTATTACGATTGCGTTCCGTAGTGCTATACTTGTAAAAATTGTTATTCATCGTTTAGTTAGGCCACGTTTCAAAGTATTTACGTTTAGAGAGTGGAACAATGAAGTGATAATATGCGTGAAATTAATTTTAATCAATTACTGGGTAAAAATATATTGCATCGTTCGCATTACACACAAAAATGGAAAACAATGTACATTCACTTGGAATTTCACCGTCTCGGTCAAAAAGGTATGTTCTAAGGAATACAACGCGCATACATTTTTGGTCTTGTACATAACTTACTAAAAATAAATATGAATATCATCAAATGTCATGGAATGCGGCTGCGAGGCGGAAGACCACTACTAGTAAAATACTGATATGTCAGTTAATTTAACCTCAAATCGACGCTTTTCGAAAGTTATCGAGATACACAACACCAACGCAACCTAAGTACATATTGTAAATTAGTTTATAATCAGTTTATATTCTTATTTCTTTAAAATTGCACTAGATGTGTCAAAGAGTGTCAAAAGTTGGCAACGCATGCGCACCGTATCAAAGTTGAAGGTTGAGTTCACAGCTCGGTGCTCATTTCCGCTGCGCAAGTGGCGTGCTTCACCGGCGATACTCCCGATGGGCTGGCCTGTAATCCCGGCGTTCTCTTGTTCGCGACCGGCGATCCTGTTCCGAGTGCAGCGATGGTGGACGCGGGGCTGCAGCGGAGGCATCTCCACTTGCCTGTGACACCTAGAATTCACCAACACACCACCGCAGAGTAAGAATTTTAACATATTTTTACATCGCCATTTTGTTTGTGTTTTGAATTGTGTTTTAAGCGAAAGCGCCGTATGATACAAAAGCGTATACTTACTGATAGCTGCGTATTAGAGGAGTTAGTACGTATTCCAAGCTGACCGAGCGAGAGTCGTTACAGAGCGAAGACAGTGGGGTTTTAGCGATATGAGCGGTGGCGGTAGTGGCGGCGGCAGCAGCGTGCCGATTACGCCCACTTTGCCATCTCTGCAGGCGCGTGAAAAATAAAGCAAATAGGAAATATAGCGCACGCTCGCCTCGCAAACCAGCGTTTGTTTTCGATGCGAGTAATAAAATGCAAGATGAAAGAAAGAAGCATATTTACAACCATGAGAAATGTTATGAGAATATTCCCACCGGTGTTAATGCATTAATTAATAAGCCGTTTGGTTTTTTTATTCTTTGCGCTTTCTTTCCACCTTTTAAGCCGCCATTTTAAAGAAATGTCCGCAAAAAGTTGCGCTATCGACTTACGTGACCCATAGTGGACTTCCTAGCTTCATGTAAATGTTTCGGATTGCCATTTCTAAAACACACGCCGCACATCGGTTAAAATAATTAATTAACGTGTTTCGCATAAATTTACCTATCATCCTGTTCGCCTCCCAGTCCTGAATCGGAATGCTCATGATGGATGACGCGCGGCAGTCCGTTATCGTTATGATTGCCTAAATTAATTAAATTATTGCCATTGCTGAAAGGATTCGACGGTGCGTACAGGCCGGATTTAGGCATTTGGCTCATTGCTCCCGCCTCGATGCTCAGTTGATCAATGCTGTGAAATTAATTAGTATGAGTGTAATTTAATTAAATTCATTTGTTCAGCGTGCGCGCCGCTCACCGAGGTAACATGCTCATTGCGATTGGATCGTTTTCCGGTTTGTAGCTTGTCTTGATGCCAGCGCGGCGGTTTTCCATCCCATGTGGTGTGTATGGGGTGGGGACTCTCGTTTCGTTCGGTTTGCTTTAAATCACGAATTTGCGGAAATTCGCTACAAAAACAAGCATAAATAAAATTGCCGAAAACCGGAAGCGTAATTTAGGAAAGTAGTTTCTTACGTTTTATGCTGTGATGCTTTAATTTTCATTGCCTTGGCATGATTAGTCTGCACCACCGTGTAGGAATCTCCCTCAGCTGGGAATCACTCATTCCGGTAGTGTCGATGAGTTTAAACTCCAAATGTTTGCGCAGTTCATCCGACAGCCATTTATTTCCGTCGGTGGGTTTCGCCGCGCGTGTTTTACGCCCTCTAGCACTGCCAATTGTACCATCATTACTCGCTGGAGGTAGGCTAGGATTATTATTCACTTGGTCCAATTCATTTTCCGGGTTTCCGGGAAAACCACTATTAATTGGAACACCCGCACCTACAGCTTGATAATTCCGGCGATTTCGTACAACATTCGCGCGTTGTACATTCGTCTGCTGGCCTTCAGTTTGTTGTTTCCGTTGTTGTGCCTGTTGCACCGCCTTCCATTGAGATTCGGAGTCAACCAGCTCGTAATGGCTGTCACTGCGTTCCGGTTTACGACTACGACTCTGCGACTTCCTTCTGTGTGACGAATGCGACTGATTTTCATGTTCCGAACCTGAATCTCTACGATTTCTCGATCGATGTCTACGATGTTTCCGATGTGAGCGTCCCGAACTCTTCGATAATTCACTTTCATTATCCGAAGTGATCCGACTCAGATGTTTTTTACGTTTGCACGAACGTGACTCATTTGAACTCTGACTATCAACCGACGAGGAGCGATACCTGGGTCCGGCCGACCGCACCGATCGTGGACTGGGCGGAAGCGAAGTGTTGTACAACCCTCTGGAATGCGGTTGCGTCCACGGTGCGCTTCGTGTACTACGTGGCGAATCCGGCGCCTTGGTTGCGAACATAGGCGTGTAGCAGGATTTCGGCTGCGGGGCTTGCTCCCTACAGCACGTATCACTGATTAAAATTCAAGTCACAGCACGGCGAAGACAATGTTTACATTTGAACATGTTTCAACTTACAAATGAGCCGGTTGCGGAACAGACACGTATTTGACTTCGCCCGGCTGATGGTGCTCGATGGGTTTGTCCGCTGGTGTTGGATCAGTGGCGGCGTCGCCGGCGCGTCGCTGGTAGCGTCGCGACGAGACGCGAAGGAACGAAGGCGGAGTGCGCACCTTTATCTGGGCATCACGCACCGCCTGCTTTTCTGTCCGCCCGCTACGAGGAAAGGAAAAACAACCCGTAATCAACAACACCCTCGCAACACCTAATTTATGCGCCTGCATTCTTTACAAAACATACAGTGTGTTTTTTTTTTCATTATTTTCTTCACTCACCTGTATCGAAAACGTGAGCTTAAAGCAAAAATATCTGGAGATGTTGGCGACACCTGCACTAACCGGAAAAACGCATGGTGTTCAATACAACACTTCCAGAGGTGTTTACACGCCGACTTTGACGGTGTCTCAAACCCATACGTACTTTCATCATTCTAAACAAAGTCTTATTTAGATCCAACGACAATTGCTGTAGGAAATTGTTGCTTACGTTTTTATCCGTGACGCGCAGCATAAAATAGCGTCCCTTGAAGTAGATCTTGGAAATGCGCGGCCAGTAATAGTTCCCCACGGTGTTCTTGTTCCTCAGCACGATGATACCACTCGGTGTCAGGCCCAGGAAGTACTCCACATTGTCCTCGCCCTGCAAACACACGCGTTTTTATTATTACAACGCGCGCGCGCGGCGAGTTTTATGATTTTATTACCAGAACTGGATGCAGGTCGACGCCGTACATGTCGAGCCATTTGACTTTATCGAGATAGCTTAGTTCCGCTACCGAAGGTAATTGCCCTCTGAAAATTACACTGTGGATGCATTCACGTTTCGCCTGGCCATATATTTCTTACAATCACGTTGTAGAAGATTGTACAACATTTCGAAAACGCGCGTAACGCAAGCGGAAATTTTAATTATGAGTCGATAATAATGAGCGGCGGGTCGTGAACAGTTATACTTACACAAGCGTCTTGTGCAGATCGGAGATTTTGTTCTCTAACTCGATGGATTGGTTCGTCAGCAGGCGGAATTCGGACACGTAGCCGGGCATATGGCGTCGCGAATCATAATCACCCAATTCGGCTAAGAAATTTTGTATTTATTTGTACAGTTTCTTAAGAGGAATGTTAATTTTACTTACATTGAACAACTGATGCGCCTAACTCAGCTGCCAACTCGAAGGACACCGGTAGGCGGCCCTGAAGAATGTCCTGCTTCACTTGCAGGAAGAATTGGTACCTAGCAAATAGTTAATACTTGAAAAGTGTTCCAACCGCCTCCGACTGACAGCACGATAATTAAAGCGTGCACGCTGAACGATGAAAGACAGGCGAAGAAAAATGAAGTTGCGTTTACGGTAATTACGTTTCGTGTGTGTGTGTGGACCTGTGTGAAGACACACGAAGGTCATCATAAGTTAAATATTCGTGTTTCATTTCGAATGCGAATGTTGGAAGCATGTTATGAGCGCTAATTTCATAGCATCCCGCCGCTGAAATTCATCAAAACGAAAACAAAAACTTTTGATTTCACTCGCCGTGTTGATATCTTATACAGTATATACGAAATAACGAGATAGAAGGCCAGCAACGACAATAAACATTGTCTTTATAGACGTATCGCATTACAGACACCATTTTCGGTGATGCTATGACATCATACGTATCACATTATTCAGTGAATGTGAATTTCACTTTTTTATAGTTTTAATATGTGATGTAAGAAGTTTTCGGACACATTGTATACCGGTGGAAATGGGCACGCACGTACGGGCGAGATTTACTCGGGTTGTTATTGCCGGCAGCAAGGTCCGAAGATACCGAAACCAAACTAGCAATTACTGTAATCGACTAGAACACAAAACGCTCGCGTCTGACCGTGGTGGTGTGGTAACGTTTAAAAAAACCAAACACACAAGACACAAAAAACGAAGTAATAAGCATCTAACAACAGCCATATTGTTCATTCTTGAATCATTTTATATTTTACACTTACCTGGTGATCTCTTCGAGGAGTTTGCATGGATCGGCCGCGTAGAACTTGACGCCGAAGTAGAACGTCACCGGCGTGTTGTCGGCGTCGCCTTTCAGCTGCTTCGAGAGCTTCTTCGACGGATCCAGCCAGTGCTATAGGAGCGTGCGCGTGAGCGGCATTATAATGTGTGTTAACCGTGTGAGCGCACGCTTTTAATTAGCGATTAGATTAAATTAATTGCGAATTAATTACCGTTTGTCCGTCCGGGTCCAGGTAGCGTAGGCCGAAGTAGGCTGTTTCGAGTAAGTTGAGGTGTTTCGTGACTACGTCCAATAATAACTGCCCGGCCGAATTATCCTTCAAAATTACATCGTTTTTCTCTTTGTTTATTTATATAATTTAAAGAATATAAACAATGACGTGTTGCATTTTAAGGTGTAACGCGATACACGTAGCAATTGGAAGCATTCCGGCAATTACGCGCCGTGGAGAGAAAAAAAAAACGTTTTTCTTTTTTTCGAAAAACGCCTCGGTTCATTTCTCACGCTGCTTGTACCTTTCGAGAGGTTGAACACCACCGCCGCCGGCAAACGGGTGAAAAAACACAAAACGCACAGGCGCATAATTGCCGCATAATGCCCGCGCGCCATCGTTACTTTCGTATTCTTAATAAATACGCATGCGAACGCATCAATATGCACACAACTCACCTGAATCTCGTGCACGAGCTCTTGCTCGTCCAGCAGGACGATCTTGCATGTGACAGCGCGTGGTTTCGTGCAGAAGCATTCCATTTTCTTTCTCCCTGCGCGCAGAAATTATTTTATTATTATCATCGCCTGCAGCGCAATAAAAGCGTAATTATTATTAGCGCGTTGTGTCACCAGGCAGGGCGTAACGCCATCACGCCGCTTCGATCAAGTCATTAGCGCCGTTTGGGCTTTCAGCATGTAAATTGATATCAAAAACGTGTATTCTAATATCCGCTATTTCCAATTTCCGGCGCAGACCTGTCCGACGAGCGCTTCGAGCGGTTCGACCACTCTCGCATGCCAATGCAAGCATAAAATCCAAAACACATCACATCCTCTCAATAATCCACTCGAATTCGATTCTAATCGAGTCACAACAAAGCAGGAAGTTTTAACATTCAATATAATTTATATAAGTATCACGAGATGAGCGCAAAAAACTCACTGTGGAAAAAACTGCGAGTTGATATAACTTAACGTGACGAACTTCCTGTTTGTTGTCTTGGGCGCGTATGCACAGTCATTATTGTCTCAGTTCTTCAGCCGAAGAGATATACAGAGTGTTTAAAATCATCAGAATAAAATAATCCACGTGCGGCGCAATTTTAATTGTCGGGTGGCTAAATGAAGCGAAGATGCGCTCGCCCAGAGTGAAGTTCAGCTTACGGTAATCGCGGTAATAGATGCTCTCGCAAGCTGGAGCATGAGCGGCGCGGTAGCATGCAATTACCTGTTCCTGGCGCTGAATTGCCATCCAAGCTAGTTGGATGCATAGAAAACGCGCTCGACTTTGTAAGTTGTAAATATTTTACCTCATTAAACACATTGCCATTTGAATAAAGCGCTGAGTGTTTTTTATTTATTTTTGAAGTAGTTTATTAGTTACCTTGATTTCTGTAGAGGAATAACGATGATTAATTGTCTAAATTGTTGATTTCTTTCAACTTTTGATTTAGTTGCGCTTAGTAATTAATTAATGGCTGAGAATCGCCGCCGGTGTTGGTGCGGCAGCGCCGATTTCGAACAATACACAGCGTTTGCACCATTGTTCGGACGTTCAACTTTAAAATCCTAGTTGAAAATCAGACCGCGTGTACGCGCCGCGCTCGGTGCACGAAACGCACACAAACACCGCACACCTCTTCGCCGGAGAATTAATCGCGCACGCATCCACCCGCACTGGTCAATAATCTAAACGGAATTACAATTACGCTTCTGTTGTAATATTAATCCAGGTGTAAAAATAGTTGGCGGGTGTGCGCTGGTGTGGATGTCTTCGCAGGTGAAAAACGCGCTGCTCGTGTCTGAAGAGCGGACCGCGCTCCCCGACGTCTTCGACGCGACTGGCGGGGACTGGCCCCAGCAACCGAACGCAACAGTCGCTGCTCGAACGTGCGCCTCTAGGTGCGACGAAGAAGCAGCATTTTACTCTAACCGGGGTCGCGCCGGCCGATAGCCGGAGGAGCGGACGCACTTCTTCGGTTCGTCTTCGTGTGCCCGCCAGCAGAAACAGGCAGAAGAACGGCGAAGGGTCAGCGTTCAGCTGCGCGGTTTCTGGAATCATCGCGCCGCGGTTTTGCATTCGGTGCATACAGCGCAATGGAGCGTAAATCACTCGAAAGATAAAGATTTATATCGCTGCGGCCGACATTTGCAATAATATCCAAATCGTAAACTCCGATGAATGCGGGACAATTAAAATTATCAATGCACGAGATACTATTAAATTTATGGAGGAAAGAATTTAAATTCCTATAAAGTTTTCCATATTTTATGCTTTATGCGTCGTCATTCAGATGGCAATACTAAACATTTCAAATTTCGACCGCTAGATGTCGCTACGTGTCCTAGAAATATATTTTATTACATTTTAAAATGCCCCCCGAGACGATAACGATTTTTATCCGCCGGAATGTTTACGTTTTACACCCGATAAAAAATAATACAATAATAGTGTTGTTTATTTAGTTTTTCCTCTATTGTTACGGATACATAGTTGTATTATTCTCCTTTTTGACGAAAAAGTCGCCTCCAAGGTGTGTGAATCTAGCGAGGAGGTTGCGCGCACACACGGAACTCGTACGGTGGCGGCGGGGACAAGGTAAACGTGCAATTGTAGCATAAATCGTAATAAAACGGCCCACGCCGCGGTGGGCTCGCAACATGAGACGGTTCGCCACGGCCAGTCGTGTAGCGTACCGGTCGCAAGCGCATTTATTTATCTATGATTCTTTGCTCGGCCGATCCGACACGATCTCTTCGAGCGCTTCGAGTCTTCGCCACTCTCGGATGGTATTTCACAGGCGTGCGCGGCGTGCGCTTTCCCGTATTCAAGCTACGACACCAGTTGAGGATTTTATCTCTTTCTGCTGCATAGACGAGTCTGGTGCTAACGCTGCGCAGTATGTTTAGTTGAGCTTGGGCTTCGGTAATGTTCGAGTCGCGCTCGGTTTTCGTATCTAGCAACTAGCCAGGCAGCAGTACCAGTAGGCAGCCGCTAGGCCAGCGCAGTTCTTGGGTTTGGTTCGCGTCGACGCGTTGCGCGCTGCTGCTGAGAGAGAGTGCTGTTTTGGGGCGAAGCACCAACCCACACCGCAGCGACCGACCGACTAAACAATAAACAATTATTTTTTATACATCGCGCACGCCGCGTTTAGTGCTGCAAACATTGGACACACTTTCATCGCGCCAGTGTTATCACATTCTTTGCGGGTTGCAGTTGTTTTGCGTGAGTGTGCAAACGGGGCAGGTCTCTGCGTGTTTGTGCTCTGTGTGCGTGCGGCGCGACGAGATGTCGATGCCGATGTCGAAGATGCGATGAATTAATAAACACCCAGGAATAACCTCTTCGCGCAACCTGCGAGATTCGTGTGTGTGTGTTCCGCAGGGTGTTAAAGGTGTGGATTGCGCTCCGACGTGTCCCCCTCGCGCGCGGGCGTAAGACAAAAACAATATCGCACCGCGCACGCCGACCAAGTGTGTTTACCAATTCGCCAAGAACAAAATTGGATTTAATTAGCCACGCGTGTGTTATTTTCCCCTCTTGTATATTTTAATTTTTGTGAATAGTGCTCAGTGTGTGCGTGTGGTGTGCGAGCAGCGAGCGGATGTTCGATTGTTAAAAATCGTGACGATTGTGATTGCAGCATCACACACACTCACACACCAAAACGCCAGAGAGCCGCGGCTTCAGGCCCAGCATCCGCATCTTTCGCCGCCGTGCTCTTGCACATTGTCGAGAAGGGGGGCAAAGGACACATGTCTGCCGGTGCCGCATTCTCAAACTAGGTGGGTAACAACAGGCAAGCATTCGGTGCGCACACCGCGTAAAAGCGAGCGTAACTGTACATTGATAATGACCATATTCCGAACGTTTTCGAACCAAAACTGAGCACATAACGCTTTCTATCGCGCGGATATTCTCTTTGTTTTGCCACTCGATTGTTATGCTTGGCCCCGATGGCTAATCGTAAAGTAATGACCGCGCGCGTACTGGCTTCAAATTTTTGTTGTGGGTGCGCGCGTGTAAACCCAGTGAGCAGCCAACATATGGACGCGGAGAGGAGCTGAGAGCTAAGGGTGAGACGACGACGCGCTCCGCCGACCCCAGATTCATCATTGCGTTATTCACTTCACTTCTCCTTTCGCTCGCAGCCCGCCGTAGCGCACAACAAACTTACACCAACACCACCACCACCCTAGGCGCACTCGACGCCCGGTCGGGCGCTAATGTCTCCCATGGCGCAAAAGATGCGCGCGTATTTGTATAAAGATGACACATAACTTAATTGCCTTATAGTGCTCACCAGACGTTGATATTAGATATTAGATTCGGGCGAGCGGCAAATCCGGCCTTTCACAAACGCGCCGGAGGATGTGTGAAGCACAGATAGACAGCGTGTTTGTGTGCGCGGGCCGGCTTACATCGAAACTTTGGAACGCGGGGCGGGTGTGTGTCTGCTGCTCTGTGTGTATACGTGTGGGGACGGGAAATCACTTGAATTATGAAATCCCTGGCGTTGTTGCGGTAGGATGAGAAGGGTGCTATGCGTTTGCGACGAAGCGTTGCGGAATATGGGTCTATAATTATGGAAATTTCGAATATCGAACGCAACACATGTTGACATAACTTGTCTCTTGTTGCTATTACATTCGCCGGGGCATTTCCTATGACGGGAAGCAAGTACCTGATAAGTACAGTTACGATAACACTATTTGAAGATTGTATTATTGATTTGTTGATAATGTGTGTTTTCTTATTGCCATGTACTGGAGAGCGTTTCTCGTTTGCTTTCAGTGTGGCACTAATGACGTGAGAGTCGTAGCAGAAATGCAGCGGTCATCGCTGTGCGTCGCGTTGGCGGCCTGCCTGCTGCTGGCCGTCGGCGAGGGCAGCAACGTGGTGCGCAACTTCTCCGACTCGGAGGTGGAGCGCTTCAATCATCTCGTCGTCGATATGAACACGGGGCGCGTGTATATCGGCGCCGTCAATCGCCTCTATCAACTCTCGCCGGATCTGGAGAATGTGCTCACGGCGACCACCGGCCCGGAGCTGGACGCCGACGAATGCTCGGTGCTGGAGTGCACCACATCTGTGAATAAGAAGCTCACCGACAACGTCAATAAAGCACTCGTCATCGATTACACCAATAGTAGACTGATTTCGTGCGGTAGTCTCTTCCAGGGCATGTGCACCGTGCGCAATTTGCACAATATCTCCGATGCGAATGTGAAGGCGATCCGCGAGGCGGTCGTGGCGAACAATGCGACCGCCTCGACGGTGGCGTTCATCGCGCCCGGACCTCCGAATCCGCCCGTATCGAAAGTGATGTATGTTGGAGTGACGTTCACCTTGGGGTCGCCGTATCGCTCGGAGGTGCCTGCCGTGAGCAGTCGCTCGCTGGAGAAGGACAAGATGTTTACCATCGCCCAGACGGCAGTCACTACCGGTACAAGGATGTTTGTTAATTCGCTGGCGCGCGAACGGTATCCCATCAACTATGTGTACGGGTTCTCCTCGGAGGGTTTTAGTTATTTCCTCACCACACAGATGAGGCATATGACCTCGAATCAGTACATCAGTAAGCTGGTGAGGGTATGTCACGACGATGAGAACTACTACTCGTACACGGAGATACCAATCGACTGTGTGAATGGCGGCCGGAAGTACAATCTGGTGCAGGCGGCGTACATGGGCAAAGCCGGATCGGAACTGGCGGCGGACCTAGGGATAACCGCTCAGGATGACGTCCTCTTCGCCGTGTTTAGCGAGAGCGACGCCACGCAGACGGGTAAACCATCCGAGCTGAGTGCGTTGTGCGTCTACTCGCTGAAAGCCATCCGGCGGAAGTTTATGGCAAACATCAAGAACTGCTTCAGCGGCAAGGGCGAACGCGGCCTGGACTTTATCTCGCCCAGCCACAAATGCGTGCCGACGGTGAGTGCCAAACGAAAGTTTTCATTTCCTTTTCGGTACTTTATGCGTGTCTAGCAAGGTGGAAGTTGTACACCCCAGGTGTGGGTGCATCTTGCACACCCTTCGCGCTTTGGAGAGAGAGTCAGTCGGTAGCGGTGGCGGCGGCAGCGGCGGTGAGCGAATCGTACAGTCTGCCCTGGCGCGCGGCGCTCGCTCGCCGGAGTATTGATCGATTTCAGCCGGGCCTTCGTCATGCAAGCCCTCGCCGGCTCGCTCCCCGTGCGCGCGCGGCCCACCACGGCCCACGTTTCGTCGTTTCGCCCCGGCTGTTTCTCTCCCTCGCCGCCTCGGTGTGCTGCTCGCCCGCCCGCCGCTCATTCATCTCGCGCACTAAATTCACGTGCATCCCGTGCTTCTTATTCGCATACGGGCGCGCGACGTGCACCTTCATCACCGCCGATGCACACCCCCTACTTATACGCTCCGCTCGCCGCCGCAATGGCTCCTGCTCTTCACTCGATACACACAATACACCTTCCGCGCGTTGTTGCGAATTCTTCCTCTGGCGGGCGGCGCGCGCCCGGCCGACGAATGCGGATATTAACAAAAGCTATCTGGCTATCTCTCGCATCTCTCTCGACTATAATTGAACCATTAATGCACGGCAGAATGGTCGGGAGCTGGTTGTGCGCCGCTGCTCTCTCCTCTCCACTCCAGTGAGCGCCCCGCGCCGCACACGGGGTGCAAGCACAACGCCGCTGCTCGCATTATTTCTTTCGTTTGTTTGATGACTTATATATAGACGCGCCCGGCTTCCGACAATCAGATTAAATCTAAATGCACTGCGCGCTTCGAGGGCGGGAGTAAACAATGTTTAAAAAAGGACTCGCGCGCAAGGATGGCAGATAAATAAACGC